AAAATCATGTCCTTGATTATAAAAGGAACGAAGTTAACCAAGAGGAGAATATACTGGCCACCATTTTCTGAAAACAACGTAATAAAATCAGAAGTCAAAAAAAGAAACTAAAGGGTAGTCATTATGATACAGCAGGCTACCACTTTAATGATACCTGAATCCCACATTAGAGTGTATATTTGAGTCCTGCCCTTTCCTCTTCTGATCCAGCTTTAAGCTAATGTGCCTGGAAAGATAGATGATGGTGGCCCAAGTACTTAGGTCCTGCCTTTCCATGTAGGAGGCCTTCATGGAATTCCTGATTCCTGGCTTCAGCCAGGCCAGCACTGCCTATTGCAAGCATTTGGGGATTGCATCAGTAGATGGAAGATATCAATATCTCTTGGTCTCAGTCTTTCTTTCTCTCTCTATCACTCTGACTTTTAAATAAAAAAAAATAATTCTTTGGAAAATTTGAACCTAAAACTTCACTACTTAGAAATTAAGAAACAGTGCCACCCACTTGGGAGACCCAAATGAAGCTTCTGGCTCCTTACTTCAGTGTGTCCCAGCCAGAGCCATTGTGGCCATCTGGGAAGGGAACAGCAGATGACAGATCTCTCTTTCTGTTTCTCCTTCTCTTTATATAATTCTGATTTTCAAATAAATAAATAAATCTTAAAAAAATTCAGCCTAAGGAAATAATATGCCCAAGGAAAAGTTTGTTTATGATGACACAAAAATTAGAGAAAATATAAAAGACAAACAATGGTGAATGAATAAATTTATCAGGCTGTATTTTTATTAGTGATATTTCATGACACTGAAAAAAGCACAATATATTGTTAATTCAAATGAAACAAGCTATAAATTACCTTGTATGGAATAATTCCATTGTATAGATATCATTTATATCCATCTGCATATTTATTTACATAGTATTTAAGATGGGAGAACATAAATTGATATTTGTAATTATATCTGAATTATATAATTAAATCTTTGTATTTTTATTTACATATATTTTCTTAATTTATTATACAGAATATTTCTGTGACCATCCACAAAAAGCTTTTTTATTTTGTGAAGAAGGAAGTTAGAATACACTTCTGTATAATGTTTAGTAAGCTAACAAATCTGTATAAATTTGTATGACTAGAAGTTTATTCTTTTTTTTAAGATTTATTTATGTGTTTGAAAGGAAGAGTTACTGAGGCAGAGAGAGTGAGCGCTTTCAACTGCGGTTCATTCCACAAATGGCCGCAATAGCTGCGGTTGGCTCAGGTTGAAGCCAGGAGCCTAAAGGCTCATCCAGGTTTCCACATGGTTGCTGGGGCTCAAGCATTTGGGCCATCTTCCACTGCTTTTCCAGGTGCATTAGCAGGAGCTGGATCAGAAGTAGAGTAGCTGGTACCCAAACTGGTGCCCATATGGGATGCCAGCATTGCAGGCAGAGGCTTAACTCACTACACTACAATGCCAGTCCCTTGAAGTGTACTCTTCAAAAAAGTGGATTATGGGGGCCTGTACTGTGGTATAACAGGTTAAAGCCCTGGCCTGCAGTGCTGGCATCCCATATGGACACTGGTTTGATCCTGGCTGTTCCACTTTGATTGATCCATTTCCCTGCTAGTGTGTCTGTGAAAGCAGCAGAGGGTGGCCCAAGTTCTTGGGCTTCTGCATCCACCAGCAGATGGAAGACCTCTCTCTCTCTGTGTCTCTGCTTCTCTCTGTCTAACTCTGCCTTTCAAATAAATAAACAATCTTTTAAAAAAAAAAAGTGGATTTTAAAAAAAGTGGGCAGAAATTAAAAAAAAAAAGTGGGCAGAAATCCTGTGCAATGCAATAGATGAAACATACTTCACTTAACATAATACCTTCCAGTTCCATACATGTTGTAAGTTATGAGTCCATCCTTTTTATAGCTGAGTAGTATTCCATTGTGTATATGTATTCCATTTTCTTTTTTTCATTAACTAGTGGATGGACAGTCAGGTTGTTACAATTTCTTTGCTATTGTGAATAGTAGGAGTACAGATGTTTCCTTGACAGATTGATTTCATTTCCTTTGGTATATACCCAGTATTGGGATTGATGGATCACACAGTAGTTTTGTTTTTAGTTTTTTGAGGGACCTACATACTGTTGTCCACCATGGCTGCATTAATTACCAAAACAATGCACAGGGATTCCATTTTTTCAGCATCCTCACTAACATTTGTTATCTTTTTCTTTTGATTTTAGCCAGTCTAACTGTAGTAAGGCATTTAATTTGCATACAGTTATGACATGATCACTCATGTGCAGTCTAGAGAAATAGTGATCTCATAGAAGTAAAAAAGTATAATGGTGGTTACCATAGACTGGGGAGAGAAAGGGGAGAAAGGGATGGAGAACGGTTGATTAATGGGTACTAGGTAATATCTAGATGGATAGGCATAAGAAGTTCTGGGCTTCTATTGTACAGTAGGGTAACTGTAGATAGTGTTAACATACTGTACATTTCTCTATTGAAAAACTAGAGGATGAGATTTTCAGTGTTTTTGCCATAAAGAAATGTTAAATGCTTGAGTAGATAGATGGTTACCCCAATTGGACATTATGCATGTCTCAAAAGATCAAATAGTTCTCCTTAATTATGTAAAATTTTTATGTCTCTTAAATTTTAAAAACAAAATTTAAAAAAGAGATAAAGGAAATTGGCACTAAAAGCTGAAGTCTGTTTAGGTCTTAAGTGTAAACAGGTTATGATCTTACTTTTTCCTGTGTTGTCTTAGTGGAGTCTTTTCCTGTACTGAATCACAGGGCTAGTTCATTCTTATTTGTCGTGTGGGAAACAAAGTCCTATGATGACTTTTTTTTTTTTTTGATAGCTCTTGACTGGTATGCAGCAAAATTAATTCGTAACTATTTATTTTTACATGCAAACTGCAGAAGGAAGCTGACTTCTCTATTCCTTGGTATTTGTACGGTATTATTCAAGTTTCCCCCTAACCTAGAGTTAGTTGTTTGTGTAAGCATTTACATTGGAGGGGATAATCCAGAGAGCATGAATTTCTCTGGTAGCTGAAGTTGGAATAGCAAAGTGAAGAAATTATTCTAAATTCCATATGGCCCAATAAAATTGACCAGCTCATCGTACTAAAGATGCATCCAGGAAAGTTCTTAGGCATTTTTTCCTTATTTATTATGAAAAGTGAATGCCTTAAGCCTCCTTTTCTTCCATGTGTCATGAATAGGAAGACATTTAAGTCTTCCTTCCTTTAGCACTGTAATATCCATAAATCTTGCCTTTCTTTTTCTAAAATGACCAATTGACCTTTTCCATAAGTGATTTTGCAAACTCAGCCACAAGACAGATGCCCTAAGATCCTCATCAGTTTAGGCAATTTTTCTGCTTTCCTCACTGGACTAAGGAGGATTAGATGAGGGGACTGGATGTCCTATGGGTTCAGTTGTGGATTGCAACTTGGAGTCTGATGTTAGAAGAGAGGATTTCCAGGTGAGTGATACCCAAATAAATACTTTTGATTTCTATAATAATTGAGATAACAATAGATGGTACAACAGATAAAATGATTAACCTTCAGTCACTTACCAGACTAGTGCTGTCTTTCTATTTCACTTAAGATCCAAATGGGTTTTCCCAGCATTTGATTCTCTTACAGGTAGTGATTTGAGAACCAGGCAACTTCTTCCATCTGTGACTTCCTGGGCTTCATCATATGGCTGCTGTATAGCAGGCTGGGGGAAAGAGCACAGATGTAAATGAGTGCTTTTCTTGTGGGCCAGCCCTAAAAACAGTACACAACTTTTCTGCTCACATTTCTTTGGCTAGAACTAAGTTAAATGGCCATACCTACCTGTAAGAGAGGCTAGAAATGTAGTACAGCTGTGAACTCAGGATGAAAAGAAAAAGATTGGTGGTTCTGTAGTCTATGTCACAGTTGCCAAAGCCAAACAGAACAATAGAGAATCAGAGACAGACAAGAGATACTGAGAGGTTGGGAGCCAAGGAAATCCATATCATGAATTCCAAGAAACAAGAAAGAGAAGCGTGCAGTAATTCTTTAAGCTAGAACTATCTTTGAAGAGGTCTTTTAACTGTCAGACTGATGGATGTGAGACGGGAACAGTCATTAGAAAGTACTGAGTTTTGTTTTTAATCTGTGGAAAAACATAAATACAAGCAATGATGACGTGTAGAATTATTTTATTCTGTAATCATAATATCAAGTTATATTATTAAGTTTTAACCATAATTTTAGATACTTGATGTTAAGGTTTATTATACACTGTTTTATAGATTTACATGCACATAATTAAAAATTATGTGGTCTCTGTGTTATGGTTAATAATTGTAACCCAGGCGGCTCCGCGGCTCACTAGGCTAATCCTCCACCTTGCTGCGCCGGCACACCGGGTTCTAGTCCCAGTCGGGGCATCAGATTCTGTCCCGGTTGCCCCTCTTCCAGGCCAGCTCTCTGCTGTGGCCCCGGAGTGCATTGGAGGATGGCCCAAGTGTTTGGGCCCTGCACCCCATGGGAGACCAGGATAAGCACCTTGCTCCTGCCTTCGGATCAGCGCTGTGCGCCGGCCGCAGCGCGCCAGCCGCGGCGGCCATTTGAGGGTGAACCAACAGCAAAGGAAGACCTTTCTCTCTGTCTCTCTCTCTCACTATCCACTCTGCCTGTCAAAAAAAAAATAATAATTGTAACCCAGTAAAAATTCTAAATACTTATTAGAAATTTGAAAGTAATAACTCAGCTTTTATATAATATTATATAATTTATATATTTCTTCTTTTAGTTTCTATGGATATTTTGAGAAGTGCTTGAACAACTTTCATGGAACTTTAAGGACAGTTATGTTATAAACTAATGCTTAATTTTGTAGATAGATGCTTGTAAAAATAATTGCCTACATGATTCAATATTTTCTTATAAATTGTGTCTTATCCCAAAGTCATGTGATTAGAGAACCCAATGTGTTTTATGTTGTTTTTCCCCCCTTCTTTTCAGGAGGAAAGTTGAAATTATGCACACCCATAGTCTTTTCACTCTTCTTGGAGAACGGCTGATGTTGCATACAAACACAGTGACGGTTACAACATACAATACACTATATGAGGTAAAAATTATGTATGACAAAAATTTGAAGTATATATAATGGAAACCCTTAGACTATGTTATTTTGATTAGTAATTAGTTCATCTAAAAAGCTAATAAAATAGAGCCAATAAAGCCAAAATAATTTTTAAAGATACATGCCATAGATATTTATTTATTTTGAAACATATCTATAAAATTATTTGCCAGTCTTTTTATTTTTTTAAGATTTATTTATTTATCTGAAAGGCAGAGTTACAGAGAGGCAAAGGCAGAGAGAGAGAGGGGTCTTCCATCTGCTAGTTCACTCCCCAAATGGCCACAACAGCAGGAGCTAGGCTAATCCTAAGCCAGGCACCAAGAGCGTCTTCTGGGTATCCCTCACAGGTGCAGGGGTGCAAGCACTTGGGCCATCTTCTGCTGCTTTCCCAGTTCATAGCAGAGAGCTGGATCAGAAGTGGAGTAGCAGGGACTCTAACTGGCACCCATATGGGATGCAAATACTGCAGGCAGCAGTTTTAACTACTATAGCACCAGCTCCCTTGCCAGTCTTTTTTTGTTGGCCCACTGGTTTATCTTTGAGTGTTAGTTGTCTGACTGGCCTTGAAAAGTCTTTATCATGTCAACTACACCCATAGAGTGTCATTTGTTAGTTCTTTCCTCCTCACCCTCTTGCTCTTGCTCTCTGCCTGTTTCTAATAGATCGCAACTACCACCATGAAGCTACAGTTGATTTTGTGATAAAATGTGGGTAAGAGTTATTTGTAAAAAAGATATCTGGATGTACCTTCAGATATCATTTCAATTTTGAAATTCTTTCTTATTATTTCTGATAGATGGGCATATAACTTTAGGTTCAGTATTTCCTGTGAAATGTATGTACTATCTCACAAAGTGGCTACTTTATTTTTAAATGCTAGTAAAATATTAGGAATGTTTATTCACATTCACCTTAATTCTACTTTCCTGAAACTGGTTTTCAGTCATCTGACTTCTTTTCTCTAGTGCAAGCATTAGCAAACTAGCAGTGTCTGTTTTTATGTGGCTTGTGTGCAAGTTAAGGACTGTTTTGTATTCTTGAATGATTAAAAAATAGGAAAAATAATACATGATAGGTAAGAGTTAGGTGAAATTCAAATGTTAATGTCCATAAGTAGTTTTGTTGGAATACAACCACACTCATTTGTTTATGGATTGCTTAAGACTGCTTTTGCACTACAACTACAGTTAACACAGAATGTTTGCATGCTCACATCACTCTGCACTGCCACTTAGCTCACAAGGAACCACAGCAATGCTTAACTCAGCATTGGTCTATGTACCACATATATTGTCAACCCTTTTTTTTTTAAATACCTGTACTTGCCTATCATGTCAGAACAAGAAAAGAAAGATAGATTTAAAATCTCAATTTTTAAAACAGAGGAGACTGTGGATTATTTTGTTAAATATTTAGAAGATATGGCAATGTTTCTGTTAATTGAAGCACATTATCATTGTGTTCAAAGAATGCTCATTGAGGGGCTGATGTTGCAGTATAGCAGGTTAAGCTATCACCCTCAGTGCCAGCAGCCCATATGGGCACTGGTTCATGTCCTAGCTGTTTCAAGTGCAATGCAGCTCCCTGCTAATGGTCTGAGAAAAGCAATGAAAGATGGTTCAAGTTCTTGGCCCCCTGCTGCTCACATAGGAGACCTGGAAGAAGCTCCTGGCTCCTGGCTTTGGCCTGACCCAGCCCTGGCCATTGCAGGTATTTGGGAAGTTAAGCAGCAGATGGAGATCTCTTCCCCCCTCTCTCTATAACTCTGACTTTCAAATAAATAAACAAGAACAACAAAAGAATAGTCATTGAAATTGCCAAAAACATATTATAATATTCCTAACTTAGAAAAGTAGCGGTCAAAAAATATAAAACATAGTTTCATCATTGCAGATTTCCTCATATTAGCACAGAAAATTAAATGAAAGACATTGAGGAAGGCAGATTGATATTCTGAATAGAATTCTAATGTAATTTTGTAAATATGGGAAAAATTCAAAATTCTCTAATACTACAAGTTTTTGTCTAAGCCACAGATCAGACTCAGTTCAGTTCCAGTTTGTATACCTCCTGTAAACATTAATTGATGAGAAAATATTTTGAAACGTGTTAAATTATATGAAATTTAAATTTCATATCCACAAGTAAAGTTGAATTGGAAGAAGGCTAGCCATTCTTGTACACTTAATTATATTTTTGGGGTGACTTTACAGCAATAGAGTTGAGTAGTTATAACAGACTGTTTAATCCCCCAAATCCTGAAATACTTAGCAGACATTTTCAACAAAATACTGCTGATCCCTGCTGTACCATAACACAAAGAAATGTAACTCTCCTATGTGTTTTTTATTTAACAACATATTATTTGAATCAGAACACACATCCATTACAGAAATTTATGGAATATAAAACAGCATCAAGTAAAACGTACCTGTAGAATCGCTTATTAACAGGACTCACATTTTATATAGGAGAACCTCATTCAAGGCCCTGGCTACTCTGCTTCTGATCAAGCTTCCTGCTAATGTTTTTGGGAGTCAGGAGATAAAGGTTCTAGTACCCAGGTTCCTGCTCCTACCTGGGAGACCCATATAGAATTTTGGGCTTCTGGCTTCAGCCTGGCACAGCGCTATCTATTGTCAGCATTTGTGGAGTGAAACAGCAAATGGAAGATATCTCACTCTCACTCTCACTATCAATGTTACTCTCCCTTTCAAATAGGTGAAAATAAACACTTTTCTAATAAAGATATCCTATATATAGGTTTGTGTCCTCCTTTTCCCACTTAATTTTTACAAATATTTTTATTATAAAATAATTAATCTAAAACTGGGAGGGCAAACTGTTCTGGTAAAGTGACAAAATATTTTAAGCTTTGTGGGCTATACGGTACACAGTTGTAACACAGAAGCATCCATAGACCTAATGCACAGTGTCCCCATAAAATTGTATTACAAAAACAGGTGATAGGCCAGATGTGGCCAATAGGCTATAGTTTTCAGGACCCTGCTCTATAATGTTACCTTTATCTATCTATCTTCATTTTTTCTATCTTTTAGAACTCTCTCCTGTAAATCTAAGAGTAGCTGTTCTTTTATCCGTACTTGGAGATAAAAGCCATATTATTTATCGACTGTACTCTCCAGAACAATACCCTTTGAATTATAACAGTTTTACATATTGCTCCAGTATTTGGCATTCAGAACTGAATATGGAATAAGATTGAGCACCACTAATCTGAAAATGTAAGACCAAAAATGCTCTAAAATCCAAAACTTTTTGAATGACACGTGATGCCCAAAGGGTTTTGGATTTTGGAGCATTTCAGATTTTTAATTTTTTTATTAGGGATACTCGGTTTATGCAAATAAATTTCAGCTTCTGGAAACTTTGTAATCTACAATACTTCTGGACCACACATTTTGGAGAAGGCTTACTCGTAATAGAATGGTCTTCTCCACGCAGAGTGTGATGGGCTCATTGCTTTTCCTCTTTGGTATGTTCATTTCCCTAATAATAACTACTCTTTATTGGACACTTCACCTGACAGCCACCTGGATAAATGCTTTACATCCATTATCTGATATTTTACATCCATCCTATAATACTGGGTTTTTAAATTGTCTTTTAAAACAGAGGCTCACAAGTTAAATCATTTTCACCATGTAATTCCATAAATAAATGGACATAAAATGAGCAGGTTCTCTAATACATGGAGATAATTTAAAATTTCCAATACCTGACATTAAATTCAGTTTACAGTACTATAGATCTCTTGAATTGAAAGTTTACATAATATCAGGTTAGGATTCTGAATACTAGTGTCTAATATTGAATAACTTGTACAGTTTGCGTCTTGGTTTTCTTACTTACTAATTGCTTTGGTCAATGATGCTTATACACATTAAAACTTCTTTTTTGCCTGTGTAACTTTATGACCCTTTGCTTGTTTTGGCCTATTATTGACAATTAAGTATAAAGCCTGGTTAATCAGTGAATCCTTACATTAAAATAAAAGTTCAGCATAATGGTATAATATGTTGAATTTGCAAAACTGTGTAAATCAAACATAGAATAAGAAATGTCATGTGTGTGGGTGAGTGTGCGTATTTCTGAAAAAACAACAAGCAGCTCAGCAGCATTTTACCTCCCACCTGTGCTCCTGTAGACTCATAGCAGGCAGATTTTGTTCTCTAATTATATTCTACACTACACAAAGCAAGTCATTATTGACTGTGTAAGGAAAAGTGACTGCCTGAGGAATGTCAGGATGGGTTTGGATCTTCTGAAACCTGGTGTTTTATACTGCAGCCATTCTTCAGTGAGGAAGGTCCAATTTACAGGGCTATGCCGATTAGTTTGGTAATAATGCAAAATCTTTTCCTTTTTTGATTAAATCTTTTAGATTTGTTGATTTAAAAGGCAGAAAGGGGTTGAGGGGAGAGAGCGCAAGTGAGTAAGCCAGGAATTCCATGTGGGTCTTCCAAATGGATGGCAGGGGCCCAGTTACCTGTGCCATCTTTTGCCATTTTCCAGTGGGGAGCTAGATTCGGAACAGAGCATCTAGGACTCTAATCAGTACTCCAGTAAGGAAGCGGGTGTCATAGCAGCTTCACTTACTGTGTCACAGTGTTAGCTCTGATATATGTCCATAAAACAGAATAATAATCATGGTTAATTGAAATAATTTGTAAAGTTCTCTGAGTTTACAATGCATTCAGTTTCTAAAAAAGAAGACATAGTGTGTTTATACCAGAAGTCAATAAAAGAAAAATGACAAAAGAAAGAAAATAAATGAATGATTAGCACTATTGATCCCATTAAATAGTAGAAAGGGACTTCAACATAAGCTTTAATAGTAATAACAAACCAAACTGTATTTCCAGAATGACAGGACAATGTGTTACTATTTCTATATCACCAAAAGTTGGAATTCATATTATTTTGATGAGTGGAAACTGGTTTCAAAAAATTAAAACTCTTCAGTATCAACCTAAATTTTAATTCACATAGTTGTAAAATTTAAAGAAGGAAAACAGTATCAAGACTTGCAGTTTGGGTTCAGTTCATCTTCTGAGCATCAACCAGGTCCTGCACTCTCAGAATCTGTTGATTGGCTCAGAGATAGTGGCGCATCAGATCAAGCCACTGCTTGTGACAGCCACATCCTATATAGGAATGCTGGTTTATGTCCTGGTTCCTCCAGTTCCAGTCTAACTTCTTACTAATGCATCCTGGGAGGCAACCGATGAAGCTAAAGTGCTTGGGTCCCTGCTACCTGCTACCTGCTACCTGGGACAATTTGTTGGAGTTTCTAGCTCCTAACTTTGGCCTGGCTCAGCCCTGGCTCTTGTGGGCAATTAGAGAGTTAACCACTGGGTAGAAGAAATGTCTGTGTCACTGCCTTTCAAGTAGATGAAAATAAATTTAAAAAATAATCAGTTGGTTGATATCCACATTGAAATTTTTTATATCTTCAATTTCTTTTTTTAGTTTAGGGAAATTAACTTAACCCCAAAATATTTGTTATATTTTAGTATATGTTTTCTGAACATAAACAACTAAATGTTTATATTTAATATAGTTATGGGTCTCCACAGTGTTTTTGCTTTATAGATGTAGGTTTACTATTACTCTTTACATACTAAGACGAAGAGCTCAATTGCTTATAGAAATAATCGGCTATTTGAAGGAAAAATATGGAGGGCCAGTATTATGGTGCAGCAGGTGAAACTGCTGCTTGCAAATCTGGTATCCCTTATGAGTGCTGGTTCAAGTCCCAGGTGTTCCACTGCTGATCCAGATCTCTGCTAATGTGCCAAGGGAAACAACAGATGATGGCCGAAGAAATTGGGCCCCTGCACCCCACGTAGGTGACCCAGATGCAGTTAAAGTCTCCTGGCTTTGGCCTGGCCCAGCCCAGCCGTTTTGGGCCATTTAGGGAGTATACCAGTAGATGGAAGATCTTTCTCTCTCTCTTTCTCTCGTTCTCTCTCTCCCTCTCTCCCTCTTTCCCTCTTTCTCCTCTCTCTCCCACTCTCTCCCTTTCTCTCCCTCTCTCTCTTTTTGAATTTCATATAAATAAATAAATCTTTAAATAAATACAATAAAGGAAAGCATGTATATTTATTTTGAAAAGTATTTTAGCTTTTTCTAAGGGTTATTAATTTCTGAGCACAGGTGATAATGCAAGGACTTGGCCAACTTTAAAATGAAATACTTCATAGTAAAACTCTTTGCAAAATTATAGAAAGAAGGGGGTAATATGTTAGATATCATCTTATGCAAACTATTTTTATAAAGAAGCTCAGAGTCAAAAAGTTAGATAAGCTGTCTAAACCTATAAAGATTCTCTAACTTGAATACCTACAGTGGCACTTGAATGAAACAACGGGGTCAATAGTTTGCCATAAATCCTGTCTCAAAAAGTTGAGCCTACTATTACAAGACGACCAGTTCGTAATGAGACCAAAGAAAGAGTTGGTTATAAAAGAAGCTGCAGGTAGCCTCTGTTTAGGCCTATAATTTTGCTTTAACACATTGCTTACAAAATAATTCCACTTATAAAATTTAAATATATAATGTTGCACTCTGATCTGTGTCTATAAATAGTATAATTGTAGTTATCTTTGTGCTTATAATTCATTGATGTTTCCATTCCATATCCAATATGATAGCTACTAGTTATACGTAGCTGTTTAACAATCAAATTGTGGCTAGAGTACATTGGATTTTGTGGCCATAGGATTTTGTGGCTGTATCTGGCTCTGAACCTTTGTAGTACTTTGTTCTGGTTGGGGATTACTTTTAGTACAGGATTATTTCCTGCACATTTCTGTTTCTGTCTTTTTGAAGATTTTTCTATTTATTTGAAATCAGTTACAGAGAGAAAGAAAGGAAGAAGATAGAGCAAGATCTTCCATCCACTGATTGACTCCCCAAATGACCATAATGGCCATGGTTGGAGCCAGGGTAAAGTGAGGAGGCTGGAACTCCTTTTGGGACTCCCACGTGGATGGTGGGCACCCAAATACTTGGACCATCTTCCACTGCTTTCCCAGGAGCATTAGCAGGGAGCTGGATTGAAAGTGGGGCAGCTGAGACTCGAATTGGTACTCATATGAGATGCTGGCATTGCAGGCTGCAGCTTAACCTGCTATGCCACAATGCCATCCCTTTTCTTTGATACCAGATCCCGTCAGATCCTCAGGGCCTGTCTTGGGTCCTGTCTTTTCATTGAGATGTTTATATCTGCATTCGTATCTCCTTATTCACATTTCATTTTCCCCTCCCTATTTTTTTTATTCATAAAGGTTCATACTAACAGTCTACTATGTTTTATTACTTAATAGGGGTATGCATTTATGCCTGTCTCTGGAACATTAATTTAGTGAATTGATACTAGATATATAGTTCCCCTTAGTAACTGTATTTCACATTTCAGTTCAAAAATTTTTCAGTGTGGGCATGTAATGTTCTTAATAAGTACATGTTGAATTATGTTTCTAAATATATTTTTGTAATCAAAAAACCCTTGTACGTGAATATGTTTTAAAGCTTTTTATCATATAGAGCTTTATTTAATCACCAGAAGCTTTCTTAGACAGGCAAGGCAATTATTACCCTCATTTTCAGATAAAATAGGGACTTAAAAAAACAACACAATGAAAACTAGTGGTGCTGAAGTAAGTTATTTTAGCTGTGCAATGTGATTATTTCTCTTTTGGTGGAGAAAGTTTTAACTAATGTCCATCATGGAAGAGTATGACTTCATTTTCTCTTAAGTTTGTCTTTGGTTATTTAGAATTTCTTCTTTGTTACCCAATTTCTCTGGGCTCTTGTGGAATTCACTAGAAAGATCCCTTGTAAGAGTTTTTTATTCAATTTGAAACAATTTGATATGTTCTAGGGCTGCTTTTTTTGTATATATTTTTCAATTATTTTCTAAATTTATTTCAAATTCTTCATCTTTCAGATTTTGACAGAGCAAGTATGTACTCAAGTTGTTCACAAACCACATCCAGAGCCAGATTCTACAGTGAAAATTCAGAATCCAAGTGAGCAAGTGGCGGTTCTTTATTGTCATTTGGTAGTTGCCTGGCAATATGTGAGCCTAAATCAAAATTTTTCCTAATTGCTTAAAACATTTTATGATGTTTAACTAGTTCATGGTAATTATAACTTCCCTATTACAGTACTAATTACTTAGTTGAAAATTAATAAATATTTTCAGAGTTGATCATTTGATACACTTTTTGATTTTTTGCTTCAGTGATTCTTAAGGTGGTGGCAACTTTGCTAAAGAATTCTACACCAAGTGCAGAACTGATGGAAGTTCGTCGTTTATTTTTATCTGACATGATAAAACTTTTCAGTAACAGTCGTGAAAATAGAAGGTAAGCACTTGGAGTACGACAACAAAACTTTATTCCATATCTAATCTTTTCTCTGTCCTTAATTTAAAACTTCTAAATAAAAATATTTCAAAATTTTTCCATATTGCTTAATAATGTTAGTCATTAGAAAAGATGTGTGTTTCTTTGATACAGTTTGTATGCAGTATACTTTTATTTTCTTTTTGTTCTTATTTAATTATATTTAATTATACTATATATTAAATATAACTATATTTAAATTGTATATATGAATATATGTATCCACAGACCCTAAATCAAAGGCTCTATTCCTTTTGGTGACACCTATCATCAATAACACTTTTAATTGTAATTGGATTGGATTTACCTATATTTTCCTAGGCTTTTCCACTGTTTGTCTGATGACTGAATTGTCATGCATTTTAAGCTGGTTAGCTAGGTTGTGGGCTACAGCCTGAGTGAGGCCATGAACTCAATCTAGTGGGAAAGACAACCATAAAGCAGTGCTTAATTTGTAATGTATTAAGTGAATTGTGAGTGCTAAAGGTGATGAGAATGTGGGGAAACAGTAACTAAATCTGATGGAGGAGAGTAAGGAAGTGATTTGAATGATAATTAGAGTTTCTCCAGGTTGAGCAATGGAGGAAGGTCATTCCAGATATAGAATACTGAATGTGCAGAATGACTGTGCACCTTGTTTTAACTAGGTCATTGCATATTTTTACTGTTTTATCCAAATAACAAAATGATGAATTCTTGTTTGTATTTTTAATGAGATGTTTTTCCTCTCTAGATGTTTATTGCAGTGTTCAGTGTGGCAGGACTGGATGTTTTCTCTTGGCTACATTAATCCTAAAAATTCTGAGGAGCAGAAAATAACAGAGATGGTCTATAATATCTTCCGGATTCTTTTGTATCATGCAATAAAATATGAGTGGGGAGGCTGGAGAGTCTGGGTGGATACACTCTCAATCGCCCATTCTAAGGTAACAAGCAATTAATATTTTATATCAGTAGGGGTTCACCAGACAGTTAAATGACTATAATACTCATCTGGTGCCACCTTGTGGGTATCTTAGATTATGGCAGGTTCCTTCGTCCCAGTTTTCTGTTTTCTCCTCCCTTGCTGTTCAGACTATTATAGCCTGAATGTATCTTACAGATCATTTATTTCAAACATTAAATTAAGAATTTTAGACCTTAAAGTGCGGTGTCTATTTATAGCAGATCTGAGGATTTGCGTGCCTTTTAAACTAAAACATACTTACTTAGTTCTTTAAAAATTTTTCTTGAAATAGCCTGTGAAAATCACTTTTTAAGGCACTTATAAAGTAGTCAAGATTTTTTTTCATTTATGAGTTATAAATACTTGTTTAATTATAATTATATTGCCTTTTTAATGTTTTTAGTCTTGAGAATCTATATTTTATCTTATTTTTAACTTTTATTTAATAAATATAAATTTCCAAAGTACCGCTTTTCGATTATAGCGGCTTTTTCCTCCCCATAACCTCCCTCCTTCCTGCAATCATCCCATCTCCCACTCCCTCTCCCATCCCTTTCACATCAAGATTCATTTTCAGTTATCTTTATATACAGAAGATCAATTTAGTATATACTAAGTAAAGATTTCAACAGTTTGCACCCACACAGAAACGCAAAGTATGAAGTACTGTTTGAGTACTAGTTATACTGTTAATTTACATAGTACAACACATTAAGGCAGAGATCCTACTTGGGGAGTAAGTGCACAGTGACTGCTGTTGTTGATTTAACAATTGACACTCTTATTTATGGCGTCATTAATCACCCAAGGCTCTTGTCGTGAATTGCCAAGGCTATGGAAGCCTCTTGAGTTCGCCAACTCTGATCTTATTTAGACAAGGTCATAGAGAATCTATATTTTAAGTAATATTTGATATTTGATAAACTGCAATAGTAATTAATGGATACATTTATATACACACTAGATTCAGGAATTTTAAAGTTATATCATGTAGTTTCTTAGAAAAAGCATGGATGTCAGAAATTTCACTTCAATTCAGTCTGTGCCACCACTGAGTTTTGTGATTTAGGAAATTCATATAGTTCTTTTGAACAATTAGAAAAAACACTCTAAAAGCATAGTTAGTAAGTATTTTAGTTTTTTGTGGACATACGTCTTCTGGAACAACCACCCAACTCTGCCATGTAATAGAAAAGCAGCTGTAAGAAATTTGAAAATGGATGAACATAGTTATGTTCTAATAAAATTTTGTTTACCAATTCAGATGATAAGTAGATTTGGCCCAAGGGCTATAGGTTGCTAATCCCCACTTTTGGGATTTGTTTTCTTTTCTTGTAAAGCCAAGGACATATGTATCCTGGTAATCTCCAGAGGAAGGTCAATCTAAACTTCTGGTAGCCTATCATTTAAATATAAGTCAGTATCTCCTATGCCTACCAGGAAAGATTTTTGAAGTAAATATGTAGGATTCTTTAAAAAAAGAATTTTGGGAAAGCTTTAATTTCTGTTACAAATTTACATTTTGTGATGAGGTGAAAACTCACATTTATCACTGCTTTAACACATTTGAAAACAGCAAGGAAAGACACTGGAGGTACTTGTTCTAAAAAATATATCCTGATTGTGCCTAAACAATCCCATATAAAATAACCTATAAAAATATAAAAATTAAAAGTAGCCTATATAAGGATAAAACTGTGATATTTTGATAACTTACAAGTGTATATATTTATAGAGTTTATGAATCTTATTAATGTGAGTTGTGATAGGAGCTCATGTGAGCAATAGATGTGAAAACTGACATAGCATTAATTCTTTGGGCACTGTGTATGATTAGCTCCCAATTCTTTATTTTAACTCAAGTGAATGTGTCAGACTTAGCTGGCATATTAGGTTAGGTTAACATTGAAATATTTAACCCTATTAGTTAATGGAAATAAGCACTTGTTTTGTGATTAGCATGCACTAAGTTTGAAATCTTACAATACCTGGCATTTTGTGCTATTATTACCATATTTATCTTTGTAGCGATTTTGTTTTCCTTCTGATGTATACACAATGCCTTAGTATCTTCTTTACTTATTCCTAAGGTCACTTATGAAGCACATAAGGAATATCTAGCCAAAATGTATGAAGAATATCAAAGACAAGAGGAAGAAAACATTAAAAAGGGAAAGAAAGGCAATGTGAGCACTATCTCTGGTCTTTCATCACAGACTACAGGAGCAAAAGGTGGAATGGAAATTCGAGAGATAGAAGATCTTTCACAAAGCCAGAGCCCTGAGAGTGAGACAGATTACCCTGTCAGCTCAGATACTCGAGATTTACTCATGTCAACAAAAGTGTCAGATGATATTCTTGGAAATTCAGATAGACCAGGAAGTGGTGTTCACGTGGAAGTACATGATCTTTTAGTTGACATTAAAGCAGAAAAAGTGGAAGCAACAGAAGTAAAACTTGATGATATGGATTTATCCCCAGAAACTTTAGTAAGTGGAGAGAATGGTGCCCTTGTGGAAGTAGAATCTTTATTGGATAATGTATATAGTGCAGCTGTTGAAAAACTCCAGAACAATGTACATGGAAGTGTTGGTCTCATTAAAAAAAATGAAGAAAAGGATAATGGTCCATTGATCACATTAGCAGATGAGAAAGAAGAACTTCCTAATAGCAGTACATCATTTCTCTTTGATAAAATACCCAAACAGGAAGATAAACTGCTTCCTGAACTTTCTAGCAATCATATTATTCCAAATATTCAGGACACACAAGTACATCTTGGTGTCAGTGATGATCTTGGATTGCTTGCTCACATGACTGGTACTGTAGATCTGACTTGTACATCAAGTATAATAGAAGAAAAAGAGTTCAAAATTCATACAACTTCAGATGGAATGAGCAATATTTCTGAAAGAGACTTAGCATCATCAACTAAGGGATTAGAATATGCTGAAATGACTGCTACAACTCTGGAAACTGAGTCTTCTGGTAGCAAAATTGTACCAAATATTGATGCAGGAAGTATAATTTCAGATACTGAGAGATCTGATGATGGCAAAGAATCAGGAAAGGAAATCCGAAAAATCCAGACCACTACAACTACACAAGTAAGTTGTCTTGTATAAATTCTAGAAATAAATGAAGAAACAAAAGTGCATGGAATAGACATGGAGTTGTCAGTAGCCATGCGGGATGATTTCTTATCAATTGCATCATGTTTGTATTCAGTTATGGTATAATAATAATTTATAGAATAAAATAGTGTGGTGGTATACTCAGACATAAGAAATTTTATGTATCTGAATTGTGTTTCCAGCTCTGCCATATTCTGTGTTACTGTGCTCAACTCCTGTGGACCTAAGAGCCTATATAGTTTAAGAGGTTGTATTATGACTTCAAAGTCTCTCCTACTTCCAGCATTTTATAACTCTGGCTACATTTACACATTTTATACTCTAGATCTTAATTCTGAATGCTTGATTAATTTTAACCTTTTAAGCTTCAGGCCCAACCCTGTTCTGTGGATTATAGAAAAGAGCACTTGGAGCCCAGATTGAATTGATAAATGAAGGGGAAGGGAAAAGGGAACTGTTATTTATCAAGTGCCTACTATGTTCCAGGCACTGTGCTATGTATTTTCAGATTTAATCCTCACAAGAACTCTGTGAGGTAGGTAATATGCCTGAGAAAATTTGGAATTATTAGCAGTGAAAATTATCTTTACAACAATATAGATATGAATTTATTTTGAAAAAAAATTGAAGACTCTTGGGCCTTATGATCCTTATGATGAGGAAATGGTTGCGTTGTGATTTTGGCTTCACTAGAGTAAGGCTAAAATAAATGATTATTCCTGATACTGATTTTAATTATTGAGCTTTGAGTTACAATTACTTCCTTATTTTGTAGGTTGAAGTAGGTTAAATTTTTAGGTAAGCAATTTGAGAAATTATAATACATTTTATTATTTGAATATTCTTGTTCTCTGGGTCTCCCACACATCTTTTAATATTTTTGAAGATAAATTGAACGTTGTTTACATTATGGCTGTATTGTAAGGTTTAGAACATTATTTGCTGGTGATTTTCCACACCAGTAAGAATCTTTAATAATATATCTTGTGTGTGGAAGAAGTATGTTTTCTCCATTAGCTGCCAATTTCCATTTGTGTGGCAGTTATACTTCAGTGATAGTTGGTAGGGGATGACAATATTAGGTACAGGTTTAAAATGAGGGAAAACATAGTGAATGGTTTATTGATCACTAATCATCACTAAGCTTGCCTTTTTCATTTGCAGTTCATAATTTTTCTGTTTTGGTTTTTAAGTTATTCAATGATTTTGTGTCTTGGGGCTGAAGTTTTATGAGTGAAATGTGCTGTGAGTTTGACTTACATATGTTCAAATAATGTTGCTTCTGATCTTATATTTATAGGTACAATTAATAGGTGGCATATATTCAGTATACTTTACTTTACATATCTTTACTTCAAGGAGAAAGTAACGTGGTCTGATGTAAAGACCACATAACAAAGTAAAAAGCATCTGATTTTCAATGTGAACTTTGATGTTAACCTTAGTTAGGTATTTGATAACCTTGCACAGTCAGCAATAGCAAAGTTGAAGCAATAATACTAACCTTTTCAGCTAGTATTGTCCTGTACATGGATCACAAATGCATAATATATGTGAAATATTTGACATACTAAAGTCACATGCAAAAGCTTTACCTATCACTTACTTTACCGTCCTCATTTTAAAATAAGACGTTTCCATTGTACTACACAAAAGTTCACATGTTCTTTCTTTAGGCTGTTCAGGGTCGCTCTGTCACCCAACAAGACCGAGATCTCCGAGTTGATTTAGGATTTCGAGGAATGCCAATGACTGAGGAGCAGAGACGCCAGTTCAGCCCAGGCCCCCGGACTACAATGTTTCGGATTCCTGAGTTTAAATGGTCTCCAATGCACCAGCGGCTTCTCACTGATTTGCTATTTGCGTTAGAAACAGATGTACATGTTTGGAGGAGGTAGAAAGAGTTATTTTCTTATAGAAAATGAATATTTTTATTTGCTAGCATCAATTGATTCATAAATGATTTACATCAATGAATGTAATTCAATAAATTTATTGAAAATAATTAAACATTTCAATCTTTAATAGAAATATAATTCATTCCATAAGAATTCTAAGGTAGGTATTAAACAACTTAGCTTAAGTTGGTTAAAAAGAAAACATTTTAAATATGGCATTACCTGTTCTAAGTAAAAGGGATACAACAGCAAAATCATCTTTGGTTTAAAGGAATTTCCACATTTTTCTCATTTCCTGTTGAAGCTAATACGATGTACTAAGTTTATTCTTGGTAATAAGATTATAACACGTTGAGGTAAGATAGGATTTAAAACCACCATAAAAATACATGCTTTTTGGAACCTAATACTATTTCAGCAGTAAGTCTGAGTTAAAATATCACTTAAAAGAAAACCTTATATAAATTAAAATGTTATTTTTACTAAATTTTAGCTTTCTAATAACAACTATGTAACAAATTTATCAATTAAGTAATCCATTATTTACATCTGCATGTATATAAATTAGGGAAATAATGGCTGTAACAAAGTACCCCTCAATCAGCAAGTTCCACAGTTAGATGCATTCATATGATATTGTCAGGATTCAAATTGGCTTCTCTACTACTCAGAGCTTTTAGGATTCAGGGTGGCTCCTTTAGTTCTCAGCATCAGTTGAACAGCAACAACAATATCCTCCCCAGCTTACAAGGCAGGCACTCTTCTTTCTTTTGTTTTCTCCTTCATTTCTTTCCTCTTTTTCCTTCTTTTATTTTGTCACAGTTTTTTCCCTAAAAGTAACCTCACAAGAAATTTCCTCTATGTCTGATGGACCAGTAGAATCACATACTAATTTCTAAATCAATAACCAGCAAATATAAATGAGATAATGACTGGCCTGTGTTTTTCAGTACTGGTTAACAAACCCTTAACTCAGGTAACCCAACCTTACCTTTACCCAGCCCAGCTGGACAAAACCTGAAGTGTTGGCAGGGAAAATGTCATGACTACATGACAGCAGTCAGTAAAGCCTACCACAGAAAGCTTTTACTTTTGATTTTATTTGATCAGTTTATTGTTCGACTGCTCATATATTTTCATTGCTGATGTTATATACTAAACTACCTAGGGATAGTAACTAAGAAAACTAAAATATCATGTAGTATATTACTATTAACAGTGAAATCTGTGTAGGGAGATAAATCATGTAATTTACTAATTGTAACCATTAGTAGCCCTCAAGTGAGGAAGACTCAGCCTGCCTTTCTTCAATGCACTGTCTTTGTTTGTTTTCACGGATGCTCATGAAATTCCCTGAAGAGAATTATCTGTGATTTCATTTTTTTAAAGAGATCAATTTTGTTGAAAGAGAAAACACTTTGAAATCCAAGAAATAATAGGTAGTATTTTACAGCTAGAAAAAGTAAGTTACTGACTTAATTGTGATCATGAGGTAATATCTTTTTTCATGTTTTTCCATTAGAAAGCAGTTTACTTTTTGAGTGACACCAAACTAAAGCAGTGTGTTTCTTGGGGGATGTACATTGCATGTTTTATATTGGAAAGCCATATTGTTGGCCTACCTTGAGATATTGTCCCTTTTTTATTCAATAAGTGTTTCATTTGTATTAATTCCTTTATGCTCCCCTATTATGTCACTTCTGTGACTAGCAGTATATATTTTCAACATGGCTGGTCACAGATGGTGCTGTGGTCACTGGTGATACAACAAATTGAAACTGCCGACAAGTAAAACTCAGTGAACTCTCTAGTTCTTTTGCCTTTTGGTACAAAACAGCCACCTTTGGCCAAGATAAATGTTTGTAGCCAAATTTATTCACCTAGTCATATGTCTTAAAATCTAGTTCATACTGTAGTTTTTCAAATCACAATAATAGTTAATGCACTTGGATACAAAGAATTCTGCAGAGATGAATGTTAGTTTTTTGTACTATGAAATCTCAACTGTAAATTGCTTTCTTTTTTAATAAATGCATTGTAAATTGTTAGCTCTTTTCAATATTCTACAATTATTTTTTCTTTGACAATGTTATTCTAGCAGTGTCTATATCTTTATTGAAGCCAAATAAATGTTCATTTGTGTCGTTTTTCTATTTTAGCCACTCCACAAAGTCAGTAATGGATTTTGTGAATAGCAATGAAAATATTATTTTTGTACATAACACAATTCACCTAATTTCCCAAATGGTGGACAATATCATCATTGCTTGTGGAGGAATTTTACCTTTGCTCTCTGCTGCTACATCACCAACTGTAAGTACTTTGCTTCCATCTAGTGGTTACATTGTATAGTTACATGACTTGAGCATTTCAGTGGTGGCCATTTCTGTAAACAGGCAGATTTTAACAAAACAAGTTCTCTAAGCAACTTGTACCATTTAAATTTATATTCTCACCTTCCTTATTTATTAGGGTTGGGTTCCACCTATGTAAGTTATGAAAACATTTTTCTGGTAATTCTAATGAATACTTGGTAAAAGCTATAACTGTAAAGGATTTTCCTTTTCTGTATACCATATTTGATACCTCCTCAAATCTATAGTATAATATACTGTTAAAATCCTTATTATGTGACATTATAATCTGACTTTATTTACTGGTACATTTGTTTAGTTTAATAATCTAGATTTGTCTGTTTTAATAGAATAAATTTGAAAAGTATTTAAATTACATGTCATTTTAAAATATAACAGAGCAATGTTAACCTTGTATTTTAATTGTCATTTAAAAATACCTGTATATTACAAAGTAGACTTCATAGCTACTTGGTCAGATGAGAAAGAGTATATTACTATGCTTTCCATGTTACCTCTTTTTGTGCTACCTTAGTGGAAGGCCCATCCTTAAGCCCTGAATTTCATCTTTACCAGAAAAGATAAACCTTCTGTTTATTAAGCTGTCTGATGCTTGATGAGGAAGTGTTTCCAAGCTGATCTCTGATTTATCATTAAATTTCTTCTATCATTAAACTTTTTCTCTTTCTCTTGTTTTCCTTTTGTCCATACCTCCACTGAAACATAACTATTAGCAGTAACGGAGTATATCCTCACATACCTTCCTCATGCATATACACATCCATTTCATCCACGGGTTTACTCAAATCTATAAAGGCAATCAGGATAGTTCGAGAAGGGGTACAATAGAGCAGGTCATCATTAGGACCTTAATGGAACTACTAGTTCAGCCAAGAAAATTAAGTTGGGAAGAGCTATAGGACTGTAAATGATTGATAATATATGAAGTTTGCAGGTATCTTGAATTCGTATACCATTGCTCCTCTTTAATTTGTTTTCCTCTTTAATTTATACTAACATCTAGGAAGTTGGGCTTTGAGACAGGGAAGGCTATTTTCTTCTTCTGTCCACTAAGGATTATATCAATTATAGTTTTCTCTGTGGCATCTTAATCATATAAATGTTGCTTTACATCTTATCATTTTTCATGTGTTGTCAAGAAATATTCAAAGGTCATATTGAAGCTCACTTTATAACTTGATATTAGCCAAAAGGCTGAGAAGCAATTGAAACTCACTTTAAAATGAAGTATCAAATGTGTTAAAATTTTATGAAGAACAAAATGATCTTTATTTAAAATAAATAGTTTAGCAGCAAGTTATTAAAATTTACATAGGTTTGACTTATTCATATTACTGTCATCTTCCAAATTTTTTAGCAAAAGATCTCTACCAATTTAAAACTATTAATAAAGTAAATTATAAGCATTATCATTTATATTTCAGTATTTTTCATCTAATTTTATTATCTTTATAATGAATGTACAATAAATATATTGACTTTTGGAAGTTTGATTCCCAAAATTATTACCTGTGCATTTTTGAACATTATAATTTGAAATTTGAAACTATTTTTGGCTAAGCCGATTTTCAACACATGTAGGAATTCTTTGAACTATGGAGACTTTTGTTTATTCTATCTTTCTCCATATTTCTGTTAGTTTGTTCCAATAATGGGTTGTATGTATAATCTTTGTGTACATTGTTTCCTTAAAAGAATCAGCCAGAATCTTTCTCCCATTCTCCCACTGCCTATCTGGAACAACTGTGATGGGTGCTGACTGTTGAGTACTGCTTCTCTGTTACTGGGCTGTATGCTACTCTTGCTAAAAGTTGGAATATAGTAGAAGAAAACAGGAGGGAGGAAACTGAATGAAAAAGAAAATTAGAACTGAAAATTTTTAATTTTTAATTAGTTTTTTAACATATACAGTGTGCTTCTAAGAACAAACTGATAGTCCTTTCCTCCCTCCTTTCTTCTCCTTTTTTTTTTTATTTTTTGAGGTAATATATATTAAATTTCCATTACAGTAAAAAGGCTTACTATTCCACCAAATGAGAAGTTTAATAAGTAAAAAGCAAAAAGACCCTGGTTTAGTGGAAATATAGACAACAGCAATAAATAATAATTGAATGGAAAATGCCCATGTCAATAATATGCAATAAATATCAAAGTAATTTCAGTTCATTAAAACTATAATATAACATTATTTTTTAAAGATTTATTTATTTATTTGAGAGGCAGAGTTACAGAGAGGGAGAAGGACAGGCAGAGAGAGAGAGGACTTCAATCCACTGGTTCACTCCCCAAGTGGTCACAACAGCCAAAGCTGTGCCAATCCAAAAATAGGAGCCAGGAGCTTCTTCCCAGTCTCCCATGTGGATACAGGGGCCCAAGGACTAGGGCCATCTGCTGATGCTTTCCCAGGCCATAAGCAGAGAGTGGGATCAAAAGAGGAATAGCCAAGACTCGAACTGGTGCCCACATGGAACACTGGTGCTGCAGGTGGAGAATTAGCCTTCTATGCCACAGCGCTGGTGCCTAGTATAACATTCTTAATCACAAAAGTATAAAACAAATTTTACAAAGCTATATTTGTAGAAATACTGAAACACACAGACATTTCTTTTTTCTTTTTAATTTTAATGCTCACGTATAAGGGAGAACATACAGTACTTGTCTTTCTGGGTCTGGCTTATTTCACTCAACATGATGTCCTCCACACATCCATTTTGCTGCTAGTGGTAGAATTTCATTTTTTATGGCTGAATAATACTCCATTGTGTATATATACCACATTTTCTTTATCCATTTATCTAATGATGGACACCTTGGTTGGTTCCAAATTTTGGCTATTGCGAACAATGCTGCTATAAACATGATGATGCTGGGATTGCTGGGTCATATGGCAAGTCTATTTTTGTTTTTTAAAGAAATGCCTGCACTGTTTTCCACAGTGGCTGTACTAACTTACATTCCCATCAACAATGTATAAGTGTTCCCTTTTCTCCACATCCTCCCCAGCATTTGTTACTTTCTATGTTTTGCATTTTAGCCATTCTGACAGGAGTGAGATATCCCATTGAGGTTTTGATTTGCATTTCCCTGATGATTAGTGATGTTGAGCGTTTTTTTTCATATATTTGTTGGCCATTTATATTTCTTCTTTGAGAACTGTCTATTGAAGTCCTTTACCCATTTCTCAACTGGGTTGTTTTTTGTTGTTGTTGTTGTTGTTGTTGTTGAGTCTTTTAAGTTGTTAATATACTTAGTATATTAATCCTTTGTCAGATATGTGGTTTGCAAATATTTTTTCCAATTTTCTTGGATGTCTCTTCACTCTGTTGATGTTTCCTTTGCTATGCAAAAGCTCCTGAGTTTGATACAGTCTTATTTAGTTAGTTTTGTTTTGTTACCTGTGCTTTTGCGGGTCTTGTCTAAAAAGTCATCCCCCAGACAAATGTCTTGAAGTGTTTTCCCTATGCTTTCTTCCAGAAGCTTCATGGTCTGAGGTCTTAAATTTAGGCCTTTGATCCATCTTGAGTTGATTTTTGTATATGGTGAGAAGTATGGATATATCTATTTTCATTCTTCTCCATACATAAATCCAGTTTTGCCAGCACCATTAGTTGAAGAGACTCTCCTTCCTCCAATGTATGGTCTGAGCACTTTTATCAAGAAATCAATTGACAGTATGTATGTGGATTAATTTCTGGGCTCTCTATTCTGTTCCACTGCTCTATGTACTGCTTTTTATGCCAGTACTGTGCTGTTTTAATTACTATAGCTTTACAGTATGTTTTGAAGTAGGTATTGTGATGCCTTCAGCTTAATTTTTCTTGTTCAGGATCACTTTGTCCATTCTGGAACTTTTGTGATTTCATATGAATTTTAGTATTGCTTTTTCTAGTTCTGTAAAGAGTGTCATTGGTATTTTGATAGGGATTGCATTGAATCTGTAGATTGTTTTGGTAATACAGATATTCTAATGATATTGATTCTTCCAATCCACAAGCAAAGAATCTTTCCCTTTTTTGTCTGGTTGGTCATTTCTTTCATCAGTATCTGATAATTTTCATTATAGAGAACTTTCACTTCTTTGGTTAAATTTATTCCTAAATATTTGATTTTTTTGTGGCTCTTTTGAATGGCATTTCTTTCTTGATTTCTTTTTCTGTGAGTTCATCATTTAAATACAAAAAAGCTACTGTTTTTTTGTATGCTTATTTTATAACCTGCAACTTTTCTTAATTGTTTTATATATTCTATCAGCTTTTTGGTGGAGTTTTTAGGTTTTTCCATGTACAACATCATGCCATCTGCAAACATGGATCCTTTGACTTCCTCTTTTCCAATTTTGATGCTGTTTATATCTTTCCCCTCCCTAATTTCTCTTGCTAAAACTTCCAGTATTATACTGAATAAGAGTGGTGAAAGTGAGCATCCTTGCCTTTTTCCAGATCTGAGGGGAAATACTAGCTGTTTATTTGTCATGTATAACCTTCATAATATTGAGTAATGTTCCTTCTATACCTAATTTGTGGAGGGTTTTTTTATTTATTTTTTATTTTTTTATTTTTTATTTTATTTTATTTTATTTTTTGACAGGCAGAGTGGACAGCGAGAGAGAGAGACAGAGAGAAAGGTCCTCCTTTGCCGTTGGTTCACCCTCCAATGGCCGCCGCGGCCAGCGCGCTGCAGCCGGCGCACCACGCTGATCTGATGGCAGGAGCCAGGAGCCAGGTGCTTTTTCCTGGTCTCCCATGGGGTGCAGGGCCCAAGCACCTGGGCCATCCTCCACTGCACTCTCTGGCCACAGCAGAGGGCTGGCCTGGAAGAGGGGCAACCGGGACAGAATCCGGCACCCCGACCGGGACTAGAACCCCGTGTGCCGGCGCCGCTAGGCGGAGGATTAGCCTAGTGAGCCGCGGCGCCGGCCTGTGGAGGGTTTTTATCATGAAAAGTTGTTGACTTGGTTTTGGATTCAATTTGCTAGTATTTTGTTGAGAATCTTTGCATCTGTGTTCATTATATAGATTTATAGTTTTTGAGTCATATCTTTGATTTTGATATCTAAGTAATGCTGACCTCATAGCCATAGTTTGGTAGAATTACATCTGGTTCAATATTTTGGAATAGTTTGAAGAGTATTAGAGTTAACTTCCTCTTTGAATGTTTTGTAGAATTCAGTAGAAAAGCCATCATGTCCCGGATTTTTACTTGATTGAAGACTTTTTATTACTGCTTCAATCTCATTGCTTGTTATGAGTCTGTTTAGGTTGTCTGTATCCTCTTGATATAATCTTAGTAGATAGTTATATAAATTCAGTAATTTCTTCCAGGTTTTCCAGTTTATTAGTATATAGTTCTTCATAGTAGTTCCCTGTAATCCTCTGTATTTCAGTGGTATCAGTTGTATAATGTCTCCTTTTTCATCTCTAATTTTATTAATTTGAGTTTTTTTCTCTTTTGTTCTTTGTTAACCTGGCTAGATGTTTAATAATTTTGTTTATCTTCTCAAAAACCAATGTTTTATTCTGTTGATTTTTTAAATTTCATTTATTTCTTCTCTGGCCTTTAATATTTCTTCTCTCCTGTTTCTTTTTGGTTTTTATTTGTTTTTGTTTTTCTACGTCTTCAAGATGCATTATTATATCTCTAATTTGAGACATTTCTCTTAATTTTTAAGTGAGCACTTATTGATGTAAACTCCCTATTAGTACTGCTTTAGCTGTATCCGACAGCTTTTGATATGTTGTGCTTTTATTTTCCATTGTTTCAAGAAAGTTTTTTTATTTCCTTTTTAATTTTTTCAATGACCCATTGATATTCAGTAGCATGTTGTTTAATTTCCAAGTATTTGTTAGTGTTCTATTTGTCTTCTTGTTGTTGATTTTTAGCTTTAATCTTTTATGGACTGAGAAGATACATGGTACTATTTCAGTCTTTTTGAATTTGCTGAGACCTGATTTGTGGCGTAATATGTGGTCTATCCTAGAAAGTTTTCCATGTGCTGATGAGAAGAATGTATATTCTGTAGCCATTGGGTGAAATGTTCTATAAATGGCTTTTAGGCCAATATGTTCTAAAGTATTTCCAACACCAATGTAACTTTATTGGTTGTCTGTTTGGATGACCTGTCCATTGATGAGAGTGGGTGTTTTGTTTTATTTTGTTTTAAGATTTTTTAAATTTGTTTTGAAAGTCAGAGTTACAGAGAGAGGGGATCTTCTATCCAGTAGTTCACTCCCCAGCTGGCCATATCAGCCAGAGATGGGCCAGGCTGTAGCCAGGAACCAGGAGCTTTTTCTGGGTCTTCCACATGTTTTCAGGGGCCCAAACACTTGGGACATCTTCAGCTGCTTTTCCCAGGCCATTAGCAGGGAGCTGGATTGGAAATAGAGCAGCCAGGACATGAACTGTCACCCATTTGGGATGCTGGGGTCGAAATCAGCAGTTTTACCTGCTATGTCACATTGGCCCTGAGAGTGGGGTGTTGAAATCACCTGCTATTATTTGTATTGGAGTCTGTCCCTTTAGGTCTGGTAGTATTTGCTGTACGTATCTTGGTGGTCTTGTGTAGGATGTGTATATATTTGTGATTGTTATGTTTTCTTGCTGGATAGAATCTTTTATCAAAATATAGTGTCTTTTTTTTTTTTTTTTTTTTGCAGTTTTTGATTTAAAGTCTGTTTTAGCTTATATAGGGGTAGCTGTGTCTGTTCCCTTCTGGTTTCCATTTGCCTGGTGTATCTTTTCCCAGACTGTGTGTGAATGTTTGCGAAGTGAGTTTCTTGTAGGTAGCCTATAATGGGACTGTGGTTCTTATCCATTCAGCCAGTCTGAGTCTTTTGGGTGGTGAATTTAATCTATTTACATTCAAGGTTAGTGTTGATAGATAAGAACTAAGACTTGCCATTTTGTTGATTACATAATGATTCTACCTGCTCTGTCAGTAAATCTGGTGGTGATATGTGTTTCATATTTATATCTAATGCAAGACACCTTCAAAATTTCTTGCAAGGCTGGTCTGGTGGTGGTGATTTTTCTCAGTTTCTGCTTAACTAGAAAATACTACATTTTCCTTTCACTTTTTAAGGGTAGCTTCACTGGATATAATATTCTTGCTTAGAATTTTTTTTTTCTTTTAAGACCTTGACCGGCTGGCGCCAAAGCTCAACAGGCTAATCCTCTGCCTAGCAGCGCCGGCACACGGGGTTCTAGTCCCGGTCGGGGCACTGGTTCTGTCCCGGTTGCCCCTCTTCCAGGCCAGCTCTCTGCTATGGCCCGGGAGTGCAGTGGAGGATGGCCCAGGTGCTTGGGCCCTGCACCCCATGGGAGACCAGGAAAAAACACCTGGCTCCTGGCTCCTGCCATCGGATCAGCGTGATGCGCCAGCCGCAGCACACCGGCCGTGGCGGCCATTGGAGGGTGAACCACCGGCAAAGGAAGACCTTTCTCTCTGTCTCTCTCTCTCGCTGTCCACTCTGCCTGTCAAAAAAAAAAAAAAAAAAAAAAAAAAAAAAACCACCTTGACCATATCATTCTACTCTCTTCTGGCCTGTAGTGTTTCTGCTGAGAAGTCTGATGTTAATCTGATTGGTCTTCCTTTTTGTGTATCTTGATGCTTTTCTCTTACTGTCTTTAAGATTCTCTCCGTATCTTTAACTTTTGACAGTTTGATGACAGTGTTCCTTGTAGAAGACCATTTTAGGTTGAATCTGCTTGGGTTTCTTTGAACTTCTTTTTTTTTTTTTTTTTTAAGATTTATTTAAATCAAAAGGCAGAGTTACAGAGAGGAAGAGGCAAAGAGAGAGAAAGAGAGAGAGACAGAGACACGATGATGATGAGAGAGAAGTCTTCCAATGGCTGGATCTGGGCCAATCTGAAGCCAGGAGCCAGGAGCTTCTTCTGGGTATCCAAAGTAGGTGCATGGACCCAAGGATTTTGACCATCTTTTGCTGCTTTCTCAGGCATGGCAGAGCGCTGGATTGGAAGTGTAGCAGCCGGGACTCAAACTGCCTCCCATTTATATGGGATGCTGGCACTGCAGGCAGCGGCTTTACCCACTACGCCACAGTGTTGGCCCCTCTTTGAACTTCCTGTATCTGGATGTCCTTGTCTGTTTCCAGATCCATGCAATTTTCTCTTTCTTTTTTTTTTTTAAATTTTCATCTATTACTTCATTTAGCAGGTTGTTCAATTCCTTTTTCCTTTTCTACTACTTCAGAAATGCCTATAATATGAATATTTGGTCGTTAATTAATGGTATCCCATATTTCACATAGACATACTTCATTCTTTCTAATTCTTTAGAAATTCTTTCTTCCACTTGGTCTTTTCTGCTGTTAAAGTTCTCAGTCATATTTTTTATTTCACTGATTGAAGATTTCATCTCCAAAATTTGTATTTGGTTCTTTGTAATGAGTTCTATCTCCTTAGCAATATTTTTATTCCTGTCACCCATTGATTTCCTCATTTCTTTAATGAATCTGTATTCTCTGTCATCTTGTTGAGCTTCCTTACAATCATTATTTTGAATCCTATATCTGTCGTTCCATGGGTTTCCTTCAGTTCAGAATCTAATTCTGGAGGATTATTGTGTTCTCTTGCAGGCATCATGCTACTTTGCCTCTTTTATCCTCTGTGTTTCTATATTGACACCTGCCCATCTGGTATACTCATCTGTTCTTCTTTATTGAGTAGGTTGTATGAATGGGCTGGAATGTGGGATATCACTTGGCTTGTTGCTTTGGCTTTTGTTCTGTGTGAGCCCAGGAGTGTAGTCTCTTGAGTGATTTGACTTTTTTTTTTTTTTTTTTAGGTTTTATTTATTTATTTGAAAGGCAGAGTTACAGAGAGGCAGAGGCAAAAAGAGAAAGAGAGAGAGGTCTTCCATCTGCTGGTTCACTACTCAGATGGCTGCGCCAATCCGCAGCCAGGAACCAGGAGCTTCTTTCAGGTTTCCATTGCAGGTGCAGGGGCCCAAGGACTTGGGCCATCTTCCACTGCTTTCCCAGGCCATATTTGATCCTGAAAATATTTGTTAACTTAAATTTAAAGTGTGTAAAGTTGAAAGAGAATTTTTGAAGAGATAAGAGAACGAGGAAGCATTGGCAACATGTAGCTTGCCAATGGAAGATATTGTATAGATGCCATTAGAATTTCCATACTGGGTATATGATGACAAAAACATTTGAAAGTAATGTTTGAGTGATCTATAATTTTCCTTAAGTGTATGGAATTTTTCAAAAATTTCATCTACTGTGAATTTTATTAATGAGTAGGATTAAAAATGGCTAATGACAGAGGCTGCTGAACTTTTTCTACATAGGGTCAAATCGTAAATATTTTTTGTTATGAGGTCTGTCCCAGCTATTCAACTCTTTGCTTATAGTCAAAAAGTGCCTTAGATAGTACACAAACAAATAGGCTTATGTGTATTTCAGTGTAACTTTATTTATAAAGACAGGCAGTGGGTCAGATTTATCCTTTGGGCCATAGTTTGCTGACCATTGACTTAAAACATAAGCTACTGCTACAATACAAATATAGTCTAGTGATTTAATGTGAAAACATTATTACTTATTTTGACTATAGAAAATACAACAGAGCTTAAGAAAAATCATTGTTTCCTGTTAAACAAAGACTCTGAATTTGACTAACCATTTATGAACATTTAATTTTCAAAAACAATTTCACTGAATATTCTGATCATTATGTCTTATAAGAAGATGTGTATTTTCCCACTCAGATGTACTACCTTTTTTGTCATTTGACATTTTTAATGTTGAACTGTATTAAATTTTGAGTTGATAAGTAGAATGCTAAGTACCCTGTATAGTTCCTCACTTTAGAAATAATAACACAAAGCTCAATCCAGAATTATGTCTTTCTTATTTCTCAGAGACTGGGTATCTCAGATAATTGGCTATCTTTTTTTTTTTTTTGTAAAAAATAAACTTGTTTCTCAGTATCAGCGAGATTCAGATATAATTCTTTTTGCAGTCATTGTAAAATGTTGTAGCATGAGACAGGTTTGACTTTTAACTCTGGGCTGCAACATTTATCAATATGACCTCAACTTCATTTTCTTCATTTGTTAAAGGGTATTAATTATTCTAATTCCATGCTGAATTTGTAAAAATCAAATTGGATAATTATATGTAAAGAGCAGTAGCTAGAAAGACTCTTGAAAGTTTTATTTCTTGATTTCCTCTTGGAACTATTTAGTTCCTTTTGCATTATTTGTATAATGACAGGATGGTCATCTATTTCTATACTGATAGAATAGTCTTTACATCTATAAAAAAATCCTGTCTTATTCAAAATACTGAGGTTCAGAATATTAGAGATAAATGTAATTATTGTGAAGGATCCATTTTGACAGTGAAAGACTAAGATGGTGTAATTTTTTGTCTGCTATTCTGTGAGATTGGCCATGGAAGTGGTCTGTTTTTTGCCCGAGAAGCTTAGAAGAATACAACAGTATATGTATGCTAGGGATAACAATAGTGTATTGCTATCTCAGTGTTATCATCATGAAGGAAAATTTTAGGCTGTTCAGATTAAACTTCTCTGTAAGGAGATATTTTAATGGAAACTTTAAAAACAAAAGAACATAGTTATACATTCTTGCTACCTATAATGAATACTGTGAACTTCATATTCTTGAAGAAGCAACAGTTTGTTGACATTTCAATTTTGCGTAGATTATTTAAAATTATAGGCAGCATACAAAACAAATTACAAAAATAGTTTTAGATTTATAAATTATACCAATGGTTTTAACTTTAGTCAGGAAAAAATAGATTTCTTAGGTATGCATTTTTATCAATCTTTGATTTAGAAAAGAAGCATATTTTTGTTTTTGTTAATACTTGAGTTAATATTTCTTTGACTAGATAGTCAAATTCTCTCATTTATTCTCCACCACATTATGAAAGATGAATGTAAATGAAAATAAAGAATTTGTGAGGAAATCTGAAGAGGAACAAAGAACATGGATAAACCAATCCACATACAATCACTTGATGAATTTAAGTTGAGCATTTTGGCTAACCATCCAGAATTATGAGTTTAGAATTTAATTCAATGTAATATATGGTACAATTTTCTTTTTTTAAGATTTACTTATTTTTAGTCAGAGTTAAACAGAGAGAGAAGGAGAGGCAGAGAGAGAGAGAGAGAGAGAGAGAGAGAGAGAGGTCTTCCATCCACTGGTTCACTCCCCAATTGGCCACAACAGTCCGAGCTGCATCGATCCAAAGCCAGGAGCTTCTTCCCTGTTTCCCACGTGGGTGCAGGGCCCTAAGTGCTTGGGCCATCTTCCACTGCTTTCCCAGGCCATAGCAGAGAGCTGGACCGGAAGTGGAGCAGCTGGGACTCGATCAGTGCCCATATGGGATGCTGGCACTGCAAATGACGGCTTAACCCACTATGCCACAGTGCTGGCCCCATGGTACAATTTTCTTTGCCTCAGAAAAATAATAGATACTGACACTTCTGGTATACCTAATAATTTGATAATCATAAGAAAGAAGAGCAACTTATTTTCTATTGGTGTCAAAAAATGATGCCAGTCTTTAATTTTTAGTATTTTTTATTATCAGTATACATGGTTAATAATTTGTAAAAATTACTAATAACATTCGATTTTGATTTTGTTGTGTTTATCTGATATCATTTCATCATACTTCAGTATTCTCAAGATGTTTCATTGTTTTCCACTGAATACACTGTGAAAAGAGCAGATTTTAAAGTTTAAACACACTCATATTTATTGTCACAAAGAATACAGTCAGTGTCTTATTGTCAAAATTAATGTTATCTAAGCTTTTTAATATTATGAGTTTAGTTCCTAATAAGACTTTAATTGTTTCGTTCATGTGCAGACTTCATGTAGTATATTCGTAAGTTCTTTTCAGCATGGGAAAGTGGTTTTTAAGTTGTAATCACTCATTTTTTTTTTTATGAAGTTCTGGGACTCTTGTTGTCTAGGAAAGATTCTGAGTGTTTCAAGATAGTAATTATATCTTATAGCAAATTCTAAAAGGTTGGTATAGTTACTTTCCTGTTTTTTGACTGAATTAGCTCTGAACTATGGATTTTTCAGAGGCAGTATATAAGTTTTTTTAGTACAATGTCTCATTAATCATCTGGTAGGAAAGATTTGTTTTGTCAAATAGAGTATGCCTAATTTCTATTATGTGAGCTATATTTACATATTTATTATTTAGGCAGTATATTTCAAATAAAAATAAATTGAAGTCTAAATATTTGATACTTATTATTATCACATGTAATTTATAAAATGAATATATCTGTAGAACTCTGCTTTTAATAAAGTAATCAAATATAATTTTAAATATATTATTTTATGTTTCAATTTTACATTGTATTTTCATTTAATTTTAATGATTTCTTTTTTCTTGTACTTTTTTGGTCTGTTGTCTGTTTTGTCTAATGCATGTCCAGGGTTCTAAGGTTAGTATTACTTCTGAAGTAATTTTCAGGTTTTTAGTTTAAAATTTTATTTTTACTTATTTATGAAATTTTTGACTTGGTTGTATTTTGAGTTTCCTTATCATCTTTAACATTAGGCATATCTTTTGTATATTTAAAAGAGTCATTGAATGGATTATGTTTCAATGCATTGATGGGTTACTTTTTATTACTCATAATAATATCTAGATTAAACTGTTATAATGAAAATAATGATGTTACAGATATATATCAGATTTCTAACTGATTTCAGTGAAAGGAAATTGAATAAAATATAGTTAAAGATTTTCATAATAATTGTATTTTACTTTAAGCCTTATTTATATAACATTTCATCATTTTTATAAATTTATTTTGTATAGAATGTAAACTACTGACAATTAGGTTATTGTTTACATTCTACGTTAAAATTTTTAGTCAAAAATATTAGTATAGCAAATTTGGGAGCACTTTAATAATAGCATTTATAATTTCCATTAACAAATTATCTCATTTTGAAATAAAAGTATATTTTAAAGGTTAAATTCCAAAACGTTTGAAAATAAAGCCATTCATTAATAAAGTGAAGAGAAACCTCATAATTGCTATTCAAAGTAATGGAGAATTTCATTAACATTGGATGTACCACATTCTAATGCTTTAACAAGTTCTTAAAATTATTTGATGGACTTGAGCAATGGCCAAATCTTTAATGCCATCATTGAAAACTGAGATTTAAAAGTAATTTGTTGCTTTTTAAATAAAGTATAGGGTCAAGGTTACAGATTTTAATTCGTGCTATAAAATGATGTTTTTATCCACAAAGTTCTAAGAAATAAAGAATTTGCATTTATAATTCAATTTATAGACTGTTTCTTTAGGCAGCGGATACTGAATTGGCATAAAATTGTAAATGAGTGATTGAAAATAATTTTATGTGTTTTTTTTTTTGTTTTGTTTTGTTTTGTTTTTTTTTTTTTTTTGATAGGCAGAGTGGACAGTGAGAGAGAGAGACAGAGAGAAAGAGAGAAAGGTTTCCTTTGCCGTTGGTTCACCCTCGAATAGCTGCCGCGGCCGGCGCGGGGTGGCCAGCACACCTCACTGATCCGATGGCAGGAGCCAGGTACTTATCCTGGTCTCCCATGGGGTGCAGGGCCCAAGGACTTGGGCCATCCTCCACGGCACTCCCTGGTCACAGCAGAGAGCTGGCCTGGAAGAGGGGCAACCGGGACAGAATCCGGCACCCCGACCGGGACTAGAATCTGGGGTGCCGGTGCCACAAGGCAAAGGATTAGCCTAGTGAGCCGTGGCGCTGGCCAATTTTATGTATTTCTAAGCACATTTTAGAAAAAGTTGATTTAACCCTATTTGATGTTAAGTAGGAAAAAAAGGTACTTACATTTTATATCCCATTTAGAATTCAGTTTAGTTACATAATGCATGCATAGACACCTATAATTTTTATTACCTAGCTTGTATACAAGAAGTGTTAAGATTTTTTTTTCAGTTAATGTTTCCCACTGATATTTCAATGTTGATGTTTCTCCTTGTTTCAAAGAGAAAGAACTTGAAATAGAATGATGGATACATAATTTCACAATGGAACACTAAATAGGAGCATAAATCTATTACATATACTCATAATTTAATTTATTTTTTGATTAACAAGTAAGGTTAACAAGTATGTTAGGTATGCCCATCTTTAAGAGATTTAGAATACTTTTTTAAAAAAATTTATAAAAGCCTCCCTTATATCTGTTTCTTGAAACACTGAGAAAATAGGACCTATCATAAGGGACCGAATTCATTAAAATGTAATGTAAAAGGTAATAAAAAATCAGAGATGTTGGCATCACTTATAAAATTGCAAAGTTGTGCATTTTTAGAAATGGAGTATTTTGTGATAGTCCTTCTGAAAGGATTTTTTATTTTGTGATAGTCCTTCTGAATGTATTTTGTAATAGTCCTTCTGAAATTAGATTTTATCATCAACAGTATTTTAGCAAAAATAAATTTCTAAATATCTTGCTAAATAATCTGAACTTTAGAATGTAATTTTTATAACTAATGGTATTTAAAACTAACATTGATTTTTAAATGGAGCCTTCTTTTATTCAAAGATAATTGATAGATAAACTAACAATATTTGATAATTAGCTCTGTTGCTAGATAGACTTTGTTTTATTAAAAATACTAAATATACTAAAACCAATGTTCACCTGTAGTACGTGTTTTATTTCAAAATTTTAAACAAGGCTTAACTCTTCTACTTTTTTAAAGACGGAATTGGAAAATATTGAAGTCACACAAGGCATGTCAGCTGAGACAGCAGTTACTTTCCTCAGCCGACTGATGGCTATGGTTGATGTCCTTGTGTTTGCCAGCTCTCTAAATTTTAGTGAGATTGAAGCTGAAAAAAACATGTCTTCTGGAGGTTTAATGCGACAGTGCCTAAGACTAGGTAAGTCTTTTAATAGTAACAATACAAATTAAGTAATTATGTACAGATAAGCTTTATGAAGCTCTGTGGGACATAAAACATTGACAATATATGCTTTTGATTATGTTATAAAGTACTTGTAAAGTCAGAATTACCAAATTTTAAAACATTATATATTCAAATTGGAGATTTCACAGCATTGATAATCTTTAATTATTTTTGGATTTTAGGTTTTTTTCAAAGATTTATTTTATTGGAAAGTCAGAATTAGGGAGAGGAAAAGACAGAGAGAGAAATCTTCCATCTGCTGGTTTACTCCCCAAATGGCCATAACAGTCAGGAGCCAGGAGTTCCATCCAGGTCTCCCATGTGGGTGGCAGGGGCCCAAGCACTTGGGTCACCCAGTACTGTTTTCCCCGGCATTGAGCAGGGAGCTGGATCGGAAGTGGAGCAGTTGGAACATAAACTGGTGCCCATAAAGGATGCTGGTGTTGCAGGTGGTGGCTTAACCTACTATGCCATAATGCTGGCCCCCTTTAATGTTTTGTAATGTGTAATAGAAACAGATTATTTGGAATTTTTTCAAAACTCAGACTATAACATTTCTTCTTCTTTTTTTTTTTTTTAATTTATTTGAGAAATAGAGTTACAGACAGTGAGGGGGAGAGACAGAGAGAAAGGTCTTCCATCCGTGATTCATCCCCAGTGGCTGCAATGGCTGGAGCTACGCCGATCCAAAGCCAGGAACCAGGAGCTTCCTCCTGGTCTCCCATGTGGGTGCAGGGGCCCAAGCACTTGGGCCATCCTCCACTGCCTTCCCAAGCCACAGCAGAGAGCCGGACTGGAAGAGGAGCAGCCAGGACTAGAACCGGTGCCCATATGGGATGCCGGTACTATAGGTGGTGGATTAACCTACTGTTCCACAGCACTGGCCAATGCAAACCCATTTATGAATCCAATTTGGTAAATTAATACTGATGATAGTGTCTAGAGCATACAAACATTACAAAACATGTGGCTTAGATACATGATGCTAGAAAGATAAAATTTACTATGTTAACCTCATTATTTTTCAGAGTAAACAAAAATTGATGATCTTAATTACTATAGCTTTGGTGTTTACCTTTTATCTTGTGTTATGAACAAAATTTAGCACTGAAAACTCTTAGTAAATCTGCATGAGCTTTTTTTAAGAACTATTCTTACCTCTAGTACCATACTTAAAGGAAAAATTTGAGTACACTATTCAGACCTCAAAGGAGCGAGAAAGCTGTTCTTACGTTTGCCTTAGGGAATGAGCAAGATATAACACATGCGTGCAATAGGGAGGAAGTTCCTGATATGTACCCTTATCACCCATAATTGTAAGGGCCATGTAAAGAATTACCCATGTTGTTTCTGACTCAATGAAGGAATGAGGACATGGGTTAAGAGTGGTAGGCTGAAACCTGTACTTTCTTTTTTGGTACTTTCTGAAAGACAGGCAAGCTGAGAGCAATCATTTCATAATTGTTATAAGGGAGAGTGATGGACCACATCAAGATCTCTTTGACAGCCAAGCATTGTGGTTTAATTTACTCTGTTGCTTCATGGGACATTTCCATTGACAATTTAACAGCTGCCAGATTGAACTTTGTGTAAATAAGACATATTTTAAAAAATTCCTCAATACCTTGAATTCAGCATTATTTACTTATTTTAACCTTTTATTACTAAATGCTTACCAATCCCTTACTGCTGATTTAATCTCATCTAATACCTAGCAGATTTAATTTTATCACTCATAGGAAACTTTTGTAAATGAATTAATAATAAAATAAGCAATTATATATAAATTCCTATGTGCTATTTACTCTTTTTAGCACTTTACATATAGTTATTCAACAACAACCTTCTAATAATATGTTTATCCTCATTTTACAAAGAGGAAACTGAGGTACTAACAGTTTAAGCATTTGACCCAAGATCACACACTACGTAAGGGATAGAGCCAGGATTCAAACTCAGGTGATCTGATTCCAAAGTCTATACTATTTATTATATGACTTAACTACTTAGTAAAATAAACAGATAAATGAAAACTTACCATATGGTTTTTAGCAAAGCCCACAGACTTTCCCCTTAAAGAAAGGTGGCTATTGGGTCTCCTGACTTGCAAATGCTGACATGATCTCTTATTGCCTGAAATGGGCAAGTATGCTCAGCATTGTCACCAAAGACAGTCAAGAGCAGATACCTCGTTGCTAAAAATTTTTAATAAATATGAATTTTACATTGTTAAATAATTTTGTAGTCCCATAAAATTTCAAATTGTTAAGGATAGAGTGTAATAGAATAAGGAAGAATACATTGAGAACTTCAGAGACTCTGGTATGTTCTATTTCATCAGTTGGCTGTTAGCATATGGGTATTTGTTTTTAATTTTTTCATTGCATGTATAGTTGCATATATATTTCATATATCATGATTTACATCCTAATTTTAAAATATATTTATTGTTTTAATTGACCTTAAGGATAATAATGGGTGAAATAAGGGAGAAGTTAGAAAAACTAGGGATTTTAATTAATTCATCAAAATCAACAATTTATATTAATAATATGCTTTTGGTCTTTTAACTAGTATGTTGTGTTGCTGTGAGAAACTGTTTAGAATGTCGACAACGACAGAGGGACAGGGGAAACAAACCTTCCCATGGAAGCAGTAAACCTCAAGAAGTCCCCCAAAGTGTGACTGCCACAGCAGCTTCAAAGGTAATTAAATATTTCTTATATTAAATATAATTTACCAGAAAATATCATTTGTTTATGAGAACAAGGTGTCATGGTATTGCTTATTGGTAAAAAGCAGGGATTTTGTGATCTCTGCTGATGACTTTACATCATTACTTTATGGCCAAGATTAATTAACATCCCTGAGATGTGCAGTTTTGGCTTATTAAATGATATTTTCTACTTCATAAGGGTCTTACTAACATTATATCAGTACATAGTACTAAAGAGTTCTCAGTTATTTCTATTTTTAGTAGTTCCATATATTTTCATGGAGTTCGGTGTTTGAGTAATACCTTTTTTAAATGAATGTGCTTTTGCTGATACACTTAACAGTAAACAAAATTCTGTTGAATGCTCATTAATTAAATGAGTAGTATATAGTGTTATGGAATATAGCAGTAGGTCACATTCTAAATTAACTCTGTGTTTGAACCTGACCCTTGGCACCACATCCAGTTTTATTAACATGACTTTCCAGGTCCCGCATGACTGGTCTTTGCTTACTTATCTAGCTCCAATTTATATACATTTACTCTTTTGTACCATTTTAGTCATACTGTTAACTTCTTTCCTTTCAACAAAATAATTTTATTTCTTTATTTCTCATACTTTTTCATAATTTCCTTTACTTGAAATGATAATGCATATGAGCAAACGACGTTTTGAGATTTGATTATTGTTCACAACACTTGTCTCTACTGTTGGGTTAACCTTATGATTATAAAAATTAAAAGAAAGAGTAAGAAATGAACGAGGAAGGAGGGTGAGAGAATGGGCAGGAGGGAAGGTAGGGTCGGAAGTATCCATAACTTTTACATCTCTGCAATACTAGAGCATTTTTAATACTGTAATTACTTTGGTAATTTGTAAAGAGAGCACAATATCTAGAACCAGAGTTCTCAGTTTGTATTCCACCTCTACCATTTAGCTGATTTTTTTTTTTTTTTTGACAGGCAGCGTTAGACAGTGGGAGAGGCAGAGACAGAGAGAAAGGTCTTCCTTCTGTTGGTTCACCCCCCAAACAGTGGCTACTGCTGGTGCGCTGCACCGATTCGAAGCCAGGAGCCAGGTGCTTCCATGCGGGTGCAGGGCCCAAGCACCTGGGCCATCCTCTTCTGCCTTCTCGGGCCATTTGGGGAGTGAACCAACGGAAGAAGACCTTTCTCTCTGTCTCTCCCTCTCTCACTGTCTATGACTTTTATTATATTTCTTTTTTATCAGTGTTGTAAAATCACCTATGCTATGAATTATTTTCTTTAATCATCATGACAAATATTGGCCTATTATTCAGATAATAGAACTGAGATTTGTAGAGGTAGTGATCTCACCCAAGGTCCTATAGCTGGTAGGTTTTGGAATAGTAATGGAAACCAAATGATTACCAATCTTTAAATATCATTCTCTTTAAACTATCCTATGCTACAAAAGAATCAAACATAATTTAGGAGTGAATTATCATGATTGCTGTCTATAGAGAAGTAGAAGATGGCCTATTTATTTTTCATTAGCATAGCGATAAGTATTTACCTATTATGTACAGAAATTGTATTTGCTGCTTTCTATGTATGTTATCAAGTTTTATCCACACAAGTATAAATACTTTGTATTAATAAAAATGTAACAGGTTAAGGACTACTCCCTATTTTACTGCACATATAACTTAAAATTTATTTATTTCTGTGTCTTTTTAAAATAACATTTGTTTTTAATTGGAATATAATTACTATGTATTTATAGTATTTAGTGTGACATTTCAGTACGTATGTATAATGTGTAATGATCAGATCAGGATAGCAGTGGTGGTGATGATCTTTAATATCTTTCATCTTTCATGTGTTGTGACCAAATTGTTTTTCAAAGCTTGTATACCTTTTTAATACATCATGAAATAGTCACATGTTAAATCTCATATGGAAATGTTGTATAATAATCTTGTATATTATAAAAGCATGATGGATAAATGGACTCAGAGATACAAAACGATTAATTAAATAGAGGTAGGGAAAGTAAGACACAGGTAAATTTAATAAAAAGCAAAAGACACAAGGACTTGAGCCCAAATTTTCTGAAGTCTATTAACAAGTCTTAGCTGCCTTTATGAGTGTATAGTGGTACATATGCCAATAAAGAATAAGAACACCATTGAGAGAAACTTGAACATTAGTAGAGAACAGAACATCTTCCTTATAATAGAGTATTATTGTCAATAAATGTTAACTCAAGAGGAGGTAAACCGTGAAACTAGTTTAGCCCAAATTAAAGACGTTAGAAATGATACTATATACATTCTCTGTAATATGTTATTTCTTCACAATTCTCTTTTTAAGACTCCACTGGAAAATGTTCCAGGTAACCTTTCTCCTATAAAGGATCCAGATAGACTTCTTCAGGATGTAGATATCAATCGCCTTCGTGCTGTTGTCTTTCGGGACGTGGTAAGTTTTGCCAGCTTAAAAACTTTCCACTGGGATTTGTGCAAAGTACTTTAAAATTTATAAGAAAGCTGCATTTTAAAACTAGATGTGTTACTGTCTGGGATTGTAGGTTTGTTGCATACTTCTGACTAAAATGATTGAGCCTCAGCTTTCTCTGAAAACTGTAGATATATGACTTCTGAGAGAGAAAAATTATTGTATTCTTGGGGATTGTATTAATGATATACATGAAATTGGTTCTGTGTATATTAATGCAAATAAATAAAGATTAAAATGTGAAATGCTGATATAATTTGTTTAAATACTAAGAATAAGAATGGGCCTGAAAAATAGTAATTCATTTTGACTCACATTATCTAATCTCCTCCCTTTTAGTATTCTTTGCTCCATTTGTGGTATTGTTTTGTTATTTTCAATGTTCCTGGTATTCTTGATGAAAGGGATTAATTCATTAGATGTGACTGGCAATTTATTTTTTTGTGTGTTGAGGAATTAATTTTAAGGAAGAATAGGTATCAGTGGAAATTTGAGTTAGAAAGGTAGCTTAACAAACTTAAGGGAAAAGATAACTTAGGGAGAATTTTTCATTGAGCTCTCTGATCAAATTATCACTTACTCAAAGTAAATGAAAATAAGATTGTCATTTCCAGAAATTACATAGAAACATCTATAATGTTTCACAGTGGATTGAATATTGACAGCTCTCCTTAATATAGTTACTATGAACCATTTTGGGTTATGCTTTTATATTAGCTGATGATTCATGAAATGTAGAAGACAATTTACTTGAAATTTGTATTTATTAATGATTATTTTCAGTAGCTTGAAAGAGACAGACATACATGTTTTCCATTTTATCATTGAATTTTGAAAATGAGGAACCTCAAGAATTGTTTGTGTTAAAGGTGATTTTCTCAGTGAGACATAGTAGGATTATTACTACTTTTTGTCTGTTAATGCAGTCAAATATTGTGTTAGCATTTGCTAATGCTGCCATATCACACTAACAGCTTTTTGAGGTTGTAAAAAATCCATGTTATATGTCTTCTCCTTGTTTATAACTCCCTCATTTCATACTCATTATTAACTTACTATTATTTTTATTCAAATGTCTCTGTCCTTAATGTGTTGTCCAATGTAAATTAATGCTAACTTTATATTCTGTGTGGGTGCAAACTGATGAAATCTTTACTTAATATATACTAAATCGATCTTCTGTATATAAAGATAATTGAAAATGAATCTTGATGTGAATGGAATGGGAGAGGGAGCGGGAGATGGGAGGGGTGTGGGTGGGAGGGAAGTTATGGGAGGGAGGCCATTGTAATCCATAAACTACTTTGGAAATTTATATTTACTAAATAAAAGTTTAAAAAAATCATAACACATTATTCAACTATGTTCTATTTGTACATACCTTGTTTATATAAGTGGTGGATAATAGTGACAAAGAGACCAAAGAATATTTAGCAAAAATTCAATATTTTAGTTTTTTGCAATTAAATATCATCCAATAATTTGCATGATATATTTCTGTATTTTTATATTTATACTTAAATGGTACTTATTAAGTAAATATATATTTATATATTTAAATATCACATTTTAGCTCCATAAAGAAAATGAAAGAGTAGCAGACTTTAAAATTTTTGAGTGTCAGAATCACCTCTGTATTTTAAACAGGATGACAGCAAACAGGCACAATTCTTAGCTTTGGCTGTTGTTTACTTCATTTCGGTTCTGATGGTTTCCAAGTACCGTGACATATTAGAACCCCAGCGAGAGACTGCAAGAACTGGAAGCCAACCAGGTAGAAACATCAGACAAGAAATAAATTCACCAACAAGTACAGGTACTTAATTTTTTAAATATTCTTTGAATTTTCACCATCATTTATCTTCTTTTTTATTCTTCGCTTTTATATCCCTGTTTAAACTGGACCAATTCATAGTTGCTTCAGATATTTATAAATAGTTGTTATACTAATGCTGGTTTAATAGTCTTTAATTCTACAAATATGTATGAATAACATTTTATAATACTTGCCATAGTCTCATTTTATCAGTATGACTTTGGTTTTCATGTTTTTCATTTTTTAATATGAATTATTCATTGATATCTTTATTTTATATGCAAGAAATTCATAAATATATATTAGATATATTACTTTAAAATATTTGTAAACATAAAAGTAGGAGGTCCTTACTGAATTGTTCAATACCGAGAATAAACCAAAATATAAATTTTTAGAGCCAAGCTTATCAAATAATCGTCCTTCCCTCTCTCCCTCCTTCCACCCTCCTTGTTCTATCCTTCCCCACCTCCATCTTCTGTATCTCCCTTCTTCCTTCTCATCCCCCTTCCTTCCTTTCTTTCTGTCTCTGTTTATTTTAGTACCTCAATATTCTATTACTGATTTTTAATAAGCAAGCATGCATTCTAAAAGACTTAATATCATAGACAAGAAGTGTCTTTGGGGGCTGGCGCTGTGGCACAGCAGGTTAATGCCCTGGCCTGAAGTGCCAGCATCCCATATGGGTGCCGGTTCGAGACTTGGCTGCTCCACTTCCTATCCAGTTCTCTGCTATGACCTGGGAAAGCAGTAGAAGATGGCCCAAGTCTTTGGGCCCTTGAACCCATGTGGGAGACCCAGAAGAAGCTCCTGGCTCCTTGCTTTAGATCGGCACAGCTCCGGCCATTGCAGCTAATTGGGGAGTGAACCATTGTATGGAAGACTCCTCTCCTTCCTTCCCTCTCTCCCTCTCTCCCTCTCTCCTTCTCTCCCTCTCTCCCTCTCTCCCTCTCTATCCTTATCTCTGTCTCTCCTCTCTCTGTGTAACTCTGACTTTCAAATAAATAAATCTTAAGGAAAAAAAAAAAAAAGAACTGTCTTGGGTCATGTTGTCTCTCATATGCAGAAAATCTTCAAGTTGCAGAAATTCTTGCCTTATCAGCTGTGGTTTCTCTGCTTGAAAACTGTGAACACATTTCCTGGCAATGGAAATTTTAATATCATGGAACACTTTCTGACATTTGCATGTCCTGCCAGATGTTGTTTCTCTGTTGTTTGCAGTATAACCTTAGTAATTCAATGCTTATTTTTGGTATCACCAGATTAATTTATAGTTGAAATTCTGTTACCTAAATAAATGCATGTGAACTGTAAATAAAATGGATATGTTTATTTTAAGATCTACTTTATTTATTTTGAAAGGCAGACTTACAGAGAGAGGAGAGACAGAGATAGAGGTCTTCCTTAAGCTGGTTCACTCCCCAAATGGCCACAACAGCCAGGGGTGGGCCAGGCTGAAGCCAGGGTCCAGGAGCTTCTTCCAGGTTTCCCACATGGGTTCAGGGACCAAGGACCAAAGACCATCTACCAGTGCTTTCCAAGCACATTAACATGGAGCTGGACTGAAAGAGGAGCAGCTTGGACTTGAACTGGCACCCATATGGGACTCCAGTGTAGCTGCTGGCTGTTTAACCCGATATCCCACAGAACTGGCCTCTCAAATGGATAGGTTTAAAAGTGACAAGAGGGGCCGGTGCCGTGGCTCACTTGGTTAATCCTCTGCCTGCAGCGCTAGTATCCCATATGGGCGTCAGGTTCTAGTCCCAGTTGCTCCTCTTCCAGTCCAGCTCTGTGCTGTGGCCCAGGAAAGCAGTGGAAAATGGCCCAAGTGCTTGGGCCCTGCACCCGCATGGGAGACCAGGAGGAAGCACCTGGCTCCTAGCTTCGGATCGGCACAGGTCCAGCTGTAGCAGCCATTTGGGGAGTGAACCAGCAGAAGGAAGACCTTTCTCTCTCTCTCTCTCACTGTCTAACTCTGCCTGTCAAATAAAACAAAAAAAAGTGACAAGAAATTAGTGGTCAAATCTCTGCATATTGTTTTCCATAAGCATATTATATCTCCTTTATCTTTTACTGCTGCTGTGGAAATATTGATTATGTCTTAGCTATAGTATTTTGCTGTTGCATACCATATTTACTTTTAACACACAAACATGAGGTTTCATTATAATATTCTTTGTTTTTAGTTTTATTTCTCAAATTAAACATCTTCCTATCCATATTCGTCACCATTTAAAACAAAAGTACTTTATAATTTTAACTTTGTTTCATTTTTAATGTATTTATATCTACCGTGTATATACAAAATGGGAAATATTAAAATGGATTCTCAGATTCCAGTTTTCTGGCATATTTGTGTGTCTTTGTATATGTTTCTATATTATCTCTATTTCATGAGAATACTATTTCCTCTCCTAATACATAACCTCTTTCCTTTCATCAGCAATGCATCCACTATTGCTAGTACTGTTTGCATGTTGCAGTGAAATAGAATTGCCTTGGATCGTCAGTGAATCATGTTGTAGATTGTTACATGTTGGCTCAAGTTTGATTCCATGATTTTCTCCACAGTTGTGGTCATACCATCTATCCCTCACCCAAGTTTGAACCATGGATTCCTTGCCAAGTTAATTCCTGAGCAGAGTTTTGCCCACTCATTTTACAAAGGTAATATTGACTTATTTCCTGGCCTGCGTGGCATCCTTATGTAATGGGTTGTTATAAAATAAATATTCATTATGTAATTATTTATAAACGTGTACATACCTTAGGTTTATGGAGATACGATATGTTGTATTTATACATGGCTGTTGATAGCAAAATATTGAGTTTGTATATGTGCTTCATTATATTTTTTAAGTATCATCTGTAAATTGAGGATACATATTTATATGAATGTTTACATGCACACTAGTAACACTTAACAGAGACTACAGAAGGATAACACCTTCATCATGAGACTAAAGTACCTAAAATAGATGATAAAATTTTGACTCAGTAGGGAAAAAATGCCCAAAAACAAGCCTTAAAAGCATCAAGCCGTGCTATAAATTTTTGAACTTGTAGTCAGAACACAATCCCAATACTCTGGGTTTTTTTTTTTTTTTTTTACTTCTAAGAGTATTTGTTTTCATTTCATTCGAAAGACAAAGACAGAGGTAGACTATCTGCTGATTCATTCCCCAAATAACTGCAACTGCTGGGATTGGGTCTAAGATATGAGCATCTCAAGTGGCTTCTTAACCACTGTTCTAAATTCCCATCTCTGATTTGAACTTTTAAAGGTGAAATCAGTTGGCTTTTTTGTCAGGCACCTGAAATGTTTTTCATGAATTTCATGTTTCAAACAAGCAAGCATAGTAACTTGTTTTTCCATAGTAGATAAGATCGTAGAAAATAAACACATCAGTAGATTTGAGGTAAGTATTTTCTTTGATATGTTTCCCAATTTAAGTCTCTTGATCTTTAGGAATTAACTTATTTTGATCATTCTTAAAAGGTTATCATATATCATTTAATTAATTTGATAGAATGTTTTATGTTTTATTTTCCAGTACCAAATGGTCTATAAAAAGAAAATTCATGGATCTGAAATCCATTTCTTTAATGAAATGTTTATATTTTATTAAAACTGTAGAAGATGAATCACCAGGGCTAGCTATTGATGAATACTGAATATATATTTTGAAGTTATATGATTCTTAGGTTCATTTTGGATGTCAAAAATGCATATTTTGAATTCTAAAGTTTGCATTTCATCAACTTACTGATATGCGTAAATTTGAAAATGTTTGCAAGAAAATAAACTTAAATTGTGGTTTCATTTCCATAAACTTTAAAAAATATCTCGTGTCTCTGTGATACTATTTTTTATTGCATCTCTGTTATCGAAATAAAACAAGAAACAGGTTAGATGTTATTTATTCCCATAAATATCATTATTGCCTGTTCAAATTAGATAAGTTAGCAATAAAAAAAAATTATTGTCACAGCATAAACTTTAAAAATTTGTATTCTAGTGTTTCTTTAAAGTATTTGTGTAAGCATTTCTTTTAAGGAATCACTCTTTGCTTGAAACTTTTTATTTAGCTGTGATATGTTATTCAAATAAGTTAAAAGTATAGTAGCAATTGTCTATATTAATCATTTATCCCACACTTTAAAGTGAACAACAAGGTTTTTGTAATTACATTCTTTTTCTTCTTTTAATGTTTGTCTGATTATGTTTTTTGAAGTTTAGTTTTAACCAGTTGTATTTTTATTTTTGTACTTATTTATCTTCATTCATTCATTCATTCAAAAGGCAACATTACAGAGAGGAGAGAGAGAGACATCTTCTGTCTGATGGCCTTCTCTCCAAATGGCCACAATGACTGACCAGGGATAGGCCAGGCTGAAGCCAGGAGCCAGAAACTTCTGGGTCTCTCACATGGGTGCAGGGGCCCAAGGACCTGGGTCATCTTTTGCTAATTTCCCAGGTGCATTACCCTAGTTGGATCAGAAGTGGAACAGCTAGGATTTGAATCAATGCCCATATGGGATGCGAGTGCTGCAGACCATGGCTTTACACTACTGCACCACAGCACTGGCCCCTGTTTATTTATTTTTTAAATTTTATTTATCTTATTTAAAGTGTAGACTTAGAGAAAGAGAGAAAGAGTTCTCCCATCTGCTGGTTTATGCCTCATATGGCCACAACAGCCAGAGCTGAAGAAAACTAAAGCCAGGAACCAGTAACTTAATCCACATCCCCCACATGGGTGCAGGAGCTCAAGCACTTGGGCTGTCTACCACTGATTTACCAGGTACATCAACAGGGATCTGGATCGGAAGTGGAGCAGCTGGGACTCAAACCAGGATCCATACTGGATCCTGGGACTGCTGGCAGTGGCTTAACCCGCTATGCCAAATTACAAGCCCCAATTATTTATTAAATTATCCAAAAGTGTCAGCTGGTCATGTATTTAGGGAAAAGAACATAAATTTTACAAATACCTTTATGAGCACTTACCTGGATAACTATTGAAGTCCTTCATTCCCCTATCACTCACTTATTTTAGCTTGTTATTGAACCTTTTTAAAACCTGAATTAATTGAGTCTTCTTTATAATATTGATTGGCCCTTAGTTCATACTCTTATTCCTTCTTGGAGTATTGCCAACAATACAATTGCCAGTAATACTTCTTGCCTCTACTCTCTCAATACATTACTGACAACAGTTTTTAAAGTAGCACTGAAATATGTACATACATAATGTAGTAGACATAATTTATATAGTGTAGTACATGAATATAATAAATATTTGCATATATAATGGATAGTTTTTCTTTTTAAAAGTTCCTAAAGGCTCTATGATTTGGAGAGCAAAGTGATTATATTTTATCTTGTATTATCAAGACTAATGCATTTTTGACTTTCTGGATTACAATAAAATACATCCAAAGTGGTTTCCTCACCTCTTCTCTTACTGATCATCAGTTTTTAGTTTTGTGGCTTATGTGATTATTTAAAATGCATGTCAAATTATGTCCCTTCTTAAAATTTTAGTAGCACTTAGAGTAAAATTTCACAAGTGTCCTTAATAAAATGACAGTTGATTACCTTTGCAGTTTGGTCTGCTTGGTGGAATTGTCCATCCACAGATCAATGTGTAAAGGGAATGTGGTTATATATTATTGATCACTGTTATTCTTATACTCACTGTGAAAGTCAGAGCAGCTCTTAGTTCTGTAATTATACCAAACATTTTCCTGCTTCAGAATCTTTGTGCCTTGATCTTGGATTTGGCTGTCTCTTTTCCTATTTTTTGTCACTCAGGTACTGGCTTTAAAGTCACCTCCTCACAGGGACTGTCCCTGACTCCTGGGCAAACATGGCTTCATTCCCCACTTCTTTTTTCCTTAAGACTGTATACATCTGAATGATGTATAGTGTGTTGTGATATATATCTACAGGTAGAATGATTTAATTAAAGTGATTAACATATATACCACTTCACATACTTATCATTTTTTGTGCTAAGGATATTAAGATTATTTTCTTAAAAATTTTCAAGTATGCGATGCATTATTACTATCATGGTTACTATGCTAATATATTGATGTACAGAACTTATTCTTCCTAACTGAAACTTTATACTCTTTGTCCCACATCTCCCTGGCTCCTTGTAACCACCATTCTACTCTCTACTTCTGTGTAAATAAAATTAAGTGTTTATTAAGTAAATTCTTATATTCATATAAAAGCACAACTTTTTAATACTGCAAATATATTAATTTTCTCTTAATTTTAAAATTAATGGTTTCATAGAGGTACATTATGTGAATAATTCTAATTTATTTTATAGATACTCAAGTATTTTTATTAATATAATCTTTCCAAAACTCTTATTCAACATCTTAGTGATGTTCAATATATTTAAGTTATTTAATGGTGGAAGTGATGTGTAGTTATCCCTAGAATTTTTTTTTAAACTTCAACTATGAAAAACAATGTAAATATCTATTTTTAGTATCAAAGGACCAGTAGTAGCCTATCTCCTCTTTCTTTCACCTTCTTTGACTCCTTTTCAATTAACTTCATTATATATTTTCTTTCTTTTTTTTTTTTTTTTTTTTTAACAGGCAGAATTAGAGAGAGAAACAGAGAAAGGTCTTCCTTCCGTTGGTTCACTCCCCAAATGGCCGCTATGGCTGGCGCACTGCGCTGATCCAAAGCCAGGAGCCAAGTGCTTCCTCTGGTCTCCCAAGCAGGTGCAGGGGCCCAAGCACTTGGGCCATCCTCCACTGCCTTCCCGGGCCACAGCAGAGAGCTGGACTGGAAGAGGAACAACCAGGACAGAATCCAGTGCCCCAACCGGGACTAGAACCTGGGGTACTGGCGCTGCAGGCGGAGTATTAGCCAGTGAGCCATGGCGCTGGCCTATTTTCTTAATAATCTAGTTATTTTCTGCTATGTGCTAGACATTGTGATATATAATAGTGAGTAAGAAGTCCCTATCTCTATGAAACTAACAATCTAATGACAGAGATACACTTTTAGAAACCATACACTTAAATATAAAATTGCAAATCTGTTCGCTATCATAAGAAATAAATTTTTAGATTATTATGAGTATATAAAAGAAGAAAACTCACTTAGTTTGGGTACTGAGAAATGCTTGTTATAGAAGTGACATTTACATTGGAAACCAAAGAATGAGTTCAAAATTTGGTTCAAAGAATTGGGGACAGTAGAGGAACATTCCTGAAAAGAGACCAATCTGTTCAGAAAAATTGCATCTCACATTTGGGAAACATGTTGGTGGAATATAATCAGGGAAGTAGAAGCATCTCTGAGTTTATAGGTAGGTAGGAGCCCACTCATGTAGGATCTGTATACAGTATTAAGGACAATATAAATTGGGAAGAGGGATATTGTAGTGGTGTGTATTGCTGCTATAAAAATTATCATAGATCTAATGACTTAAAATGAGATAAATTTATTATCTTATAATTCTGTAGTCAGAAGTCCAACATTTATTTCACCAGGTGAAAATCAAGGCAGTAGCAAGTGTGCCTTTCTTTCTGGAGGATCTCAAAAGAATCCACTTTTCTTGCCTTTTCCATGTTTTAAAGGTTGCTATATTGCTTGATTCAAGAACATTCTTCATATTCCAGGAATGGTA